GTGCTCTGGGAGGTCTACGACCCCAACCAGGTCGTCGCGCACGACGAGGTGGGGAGCTTCGCCAACCGCGGCTGGCACCTCAACGGCATGATCTGCCCCATTTGGACGAAGCAGGAACACGACCAGGCCTGTCGCCAGTGGGCCAGGGACTTGACTGCGCTGTTCAAGACCGAGCTCGAGGCCCGGGCCAAGACGACCGGGACGGGCGTCGACGGCGGTGTCGGTCTGAAGGGGAAGAAAGGAGCTACCATGCTTTATGGAAATTACGATCGTGAGTGCTACTCTCCCATTTTTTTTCTGTATACATGTCCCCCCTCATATTTTCTCTGTCTTTCCCCGTTAATGCCACCAACGTTTCTGTGTGACCCATCCAACTAACCGAACAACCGATTTTGAATAGAGTACGACGAGAAATCCCGCGACATCTTCGGCGAGAACTACCCACGCCTGCAGCAGCTCAAGGCCCGCTACGACCCGACAAACATGTTCAACAAGCTCTTCGGTGTCACGCCGCTGGCGTAAATGCATAGGTAAGGGCCGGGGGTGGGGTGGGGTTCAGTGTATTGTGGATCAGGGAATGAGGCATAGACAGATTGTTGGCCATAAGCCATCGGCTACAGTATAGGGAATGGCACATTGGCAATAATGAGTCTTGATGCCCCCGATGACTCCTGTTGGGTCTCCATGGGCCTTGATGGATCCTCCATGGCTATCCGCGTATGATAGCAATGAGAGCCTTAAGCCCATGTCCTCTGCCGAGCAACGTATTAGGGGGAAATATTTAAAATACAAATACCCTCAGCAGGGTAACGAATAGAGCTAGACTCATTGGCTCATAATTGTCCACAGCTGGGTACCCAAGTATGAAGTTGGATAGCGTCTTGTAACAAGTAAACGTGGAGAAGTCGTACTCCATATGTTTACAGGCCTCTACAGGTACAGGCGACAGCCTTGTTCGTCTCGTCGATACTGTCGGCAAAGGGGGATGTGTATTCTGCTCCGATCTACTCTGCTCGATGCAATTCTCCTCAACTTACTCCCATCGGATTCGGTTCAATTTGGATATATCTATTCATTATGGTCCTATCCTATCAACCTGCCTTACGTAGATATCTGAATAGAAATGAACCCGTCTGATCCATTCAATCTCAGTGCTTGACCACAATCTTGCCGCCCGCGTCGTGGCTGTCCAACAACGCGTGCGCCTTCTGGATATCCTTGTACTCGAACACGTGCGTTGGCTTCGCGTCCCACTCGCCCTTCTCAATCTTGTCCACGATCTCCTGCAAGGGGATGTTCTCCAGCGGGAAATCCTCACTGCCGAGCACTTTGCTGTGGAACAGGCTGAAGTGGACGCCGGAGTCCATCTCTACCATCGGGTTGAAGTCCTTGACCGGCGCGAGACCGCCGAGCCAGCCAGCCTGGAGTACCCGTCCGCCGGCGCGGGTGAGGCGGATGGAGTCGAGCAGGGCGATGTTGCCTATCAGATTGAGGGTCTTGTCGAATTTGTGGTCGGGGACAAATCGTTGGCTGAGTGGGGTTTCTTCAATAATTGCCTCTTCCACGCCCATCTTCTTTAGCATCTCGAATCGCTGCTGCCGTCTAGTGGTCGCCGTAACTTTGGCCCCTGCATTCACGGCAAGATGCACGGCGGCTTGTCCAATTGTGCTTGTCGCGCCGCGGATCAGGATCCTTTGTCCCTTGTGCAGGTCGAGGATGGTGAAGAGGCACGAATATGCCGTGGAATATACCTCAGGCAATGCGGCGAGCTGTTCCCAGGGTAGATTGGTCTTGATTCTCACCACGTTCGCGATGGGAATATTGACAAATTCGCCGTATCCACCTGGTCGATTTCGACCCATTCCGCCCATCACGCCAACCACTTTATCACCCTTCAGTAACTTGCCCGATGGATCGACCTCGACGGTACCGACGCATTCCAGGCCGGAGATGGGATTCCATTCGTCCCATTCACCCTTGCGCATGTGCATTTCGGCGTGGTTTAGACCAAATGCTTTCACGTGAACGAGGACCTCGCCTGGCGTCTGGGTGGGTTTAGGGACTGTCCGGAGTTGTAGGACTTCCGGGCCCCCGAAAGCGGTGATAACAATCGTTTGCATCGTTCCTTGGTCGGACATGGCTGTAAGATGAACTTGTTTGACTATAGGTTAATGGCAGACTCCGCCGTTGAGGCTTGACTTATTCTTGTGGTAGTAGGGTGCGCAGTTGCTTGATTGCATGGACTTCTGTTCTGATGGGTCATGGCCAATGCATTTATATCTTTGTTCCAACTCACCGGGCGTATTCAGCCATCGTCATTGCTCTTCAACGTCTTGCTCTCCGTGCTGCAAGGCTCTCGTCCATGAATACGCACATAGATGCACGGGCAAGGATGAGGTGTCTCCTGTTTCGTAGCTAGCGCGCCGCAATGGCAGGAAGGTAAAGCAGCGGCTAGTGGCCGCTGCTAATACGAGTCGAGTGAGCCCGTCGGGTACGAGTCCAGGATGCGCTGGGAAGTTGTCGGCTGCTGGATTAAGCAAATGCTCCACCAGCAAGGCTGTCTTCTGCAGAGAGAATTGACGCAATCATGGCATGATTGGGAGGAATTCTGGAATTGAGTTGCGCGGTTTGTTGAAAGCTGACAAAGGCTGCATCTGGTGGCAGCGGCAGATGTTGGCGTGTCTGCTCTGAAGTCGCAGGCATCTTCGCGGTACGATGCCGCTTTTATATGATGTAGTAAAGCCACCCAATCCGGAAGGCTGTCCGCCGCCCAAGCGTCAGAGTCTCAAAAGCGGCAATCTGTCCTCTTGTACAATCTCTTGAACACAGTCGACAGGGAGACGAGAATAGAACACAATGCATGGTCAACACTTACACCCTCCTCCTCCAACACAGAGACAGAAACACTGCTTACGTAAATTCCCTTGCATGGGATCTCCACCCCGGCCTTTGCTAGTCGAAGGGTCCAAATCCCCCAGTTTCAGCATGCAATGCTGATACCTAGCAACTCGCTGTGCAGGCGCCCCAGACACCTCAACTCCTCTCTCGATCAATCAACCTCCTCAGACACTTTATGACGGCCAGAAGCTGGCCTAAGTAAGATTCGACTCCGGGAAACACCATTATTGCACTTGTCGTGGTCCGTGGCTAGAGCTTAATGAAATACATACCTGGTACTCCGTACTCCGTATTTCGGAGCAAACTTTCTTCTGCAAAATGGCGCAACACTCGGCTACGCCAGCCGACTGACGGCGACAGTAAGTCGATTGGGGCCCCGGATGCTTGTTGCCTGACGCCGAACTGTGGGCACAGAAGACTCCTAATTTCACCCCCTCCTCAAAGCTTGAGCTGTCTACACATCCCATCTCATTTCGAGAAATTGAGTGAACAGTTGGAATACCTCCCCTGCGTACCTAGCATGCTTCGACAACAGTGCCCTGTCTTCACTGAAGAGGCCTGTTTCCGCGCTAGCCCTTGGCTGCTGGGTTGGATTCTTGGTAGCTACTCCCAAGAAATGGATTGCGCACCAGCGCTATATTGGAAGGGCACCAAATCTGTACGGGATGGTCTCTAGGATGCAATCGCGAGCTTGGATTACTCGTCTGGCCCAAAGCAAACATTCCACCTGCAGGACCAAGTGCTGTCGAAACGCCGCGAACAGTCTCAACTTTCCTCTCCCGTGCATGCGGGCTTTAATCGACGAGGGCCTAAAATTATCTGGGCCTGAGGCCATTCGGTCGAGCTCCGCATGATCACATTGAACCTTGCAAGGCAAACTCGGTAGGCAACCTGGTCCTCCACAAGCCTCCTCTGCAAAAGTACAAAATGGAGGGCAAAGGTCAGTTGGATTCGATGCGGCTCCAGCGTGTACTGCTTCTCTCGTGCCAACCATGGTCTCTACACCTGCGCTGCGGTCTGTCGCAGCATTTTCAGCTATCCATCCATCCGCTTGGAACACTCCCTCTCCTGCTACGCCCGAGCTCGGGTGGTCTGTGTCACCGGCAACGCAGCTCCCTCTGACCCCAGAACATGACTTCGATCCTAACGACCGTGTACGCTTGCCCGATTCTCCTCTTGCAGCTCGCAGCGCAAATCTCAAGACAAATGCTATCAACAGTCTTAACCTTTCCTCGCTTGACTCAGATTTGCCAGAGAAACTACTGTCGACACTGTCGAGCTCGGCCCGTCGAAACAAACGTTTCTTCCAGAATCAGTTCTCTAGCGCGGCTCTCGCCGCCACCTCTCAACCGCAATCGCCTCCCTCGAATGACAATCACCATACCACCCCGGTGCCTTTTGTTAAAAATCCAAATAGAGGAAAGGTCTTCGCTAAGAACATCTCCGCGACCCCTTTATCCAAGCGGAAGGCTGATCGGACATTGCAGCAATGCCGTTGGGCAACATGCTGCTGCATGCAGCGTCCCCACAGTTGCAAATGACATCAAATCAGAATATCGTTCGGTCGTATCTGATGAAGGAGTCGCTGGTGAATCTCAGACCAAAATCATCACAGCCACCACCTCGGCAACCGCACTTCCTCAGTACTCGACAAGGAAGAAAGCTTTAACACTCTCCTTAGTATGGACATTGAACACAAAGCTGACCACCATCTTGCCTCTCGAAGCGATAGAAAGGTTCGACGCCGATCCTTCGTATTGTATTGGAACAACGGAGCACGGTTTAAGATGCAACAAAAAAAATCGCACAAACATCAAATAAAGGTTTTGTCACAAAATTGTTCACGGCTCTCTCGACATTTGAGCGCTCGCTTGATTTCGAATCCTTTGCGGAGCATTTGGCCCAACTGGTAAAGAGTGTAACTCGTACACAGTGGCATGGAAAGCGGGCTCGAAGTTGTTTGGATGAATTGTGTTCTTATTCCTGGCAAACACGGGAGATAGCCGTTACAGACCCACACCGAGTGGAGGCTATTGCGAACATTATCCACAGTTCATTCAAACTATGGATCTCGGCTTGATAAGAGTTCCATCAATCGCCAAATGTACGAACGTACCGGCAAAGGAGATGCTGGTGTGCGAGGAGCACCCTCCTCGACGCTCGTCTTCTCCGAGGCTGCACCGGAAGGGAATCCTGCGATCTTTCGTCATACCACTCTGCAGGTAACAGCACCGTCAAAAAAAGCGACGAATAGCCATGTCACAAATAAGAGCACTACTGCAATACCAGGAACTCAAATGACAGTCCCGAAGGCGATGCGTTGGTCAACTCATCTGAACCACGCATTCGAACCATTTCCTTACTCTAAGGCAAAAGCAAATGCCACGCCTCAGGCCTTGATCCGGCAGACTTTGCTGAAACCGTTGACGCCCAGCGATATGTTGCGTTCTGGGTACATCTATGTCTTCTGGCATCCAGGTAGTATGGGTTACATCAAAATCGGCTATACTCAGAACATCAAGAAGAGGCTTGAAGATTGGCATAAGCAATGTGGATTCAACCTCGAGCGGCACAAGAGTCTGGAATCTATGAACGTGACCAAGGTCCAGCACTTAGACCGAGTCGAGGAGCTAATCCATGCCGAACTTAAAGAATACCGGGGGTTCGAGCCATGTTGCAGTGGTTGCGGGAGAAAACATCTAGAGTGGTTCCAGGTCGACCCGAGCTACGCTTTGAGGGTAGTGGCAAAATGGACAAGAAGGTCCCTTTACTCAAACGGGGAATTGGATGTCAGCCAAGAGGAGATCGAGAAGTTGTGCCAATTGACCGAAGCCGACCGCCCACTACCGCCGCCCAAAAAGGGAGCGAAGAACTTCAACGGAAGCATTCGCGGTGGTCGTCGGGCATCAAAAGCCTAAGGGAAGCCGTTGAAAGGTGAAGTTGCGCCTTGATGGGTGGTTGGTCGCCGCGTACGGAAACAATGGCGCTGCTGGTGAACACGGGGGATGCCGCTGGTCAAATCACTAAGCATGGTAAACATCACGTCGCGTCTTCTTTCTGGGGTTTGTTTTCGTTCATCTATCAAATTTCATCCTAACTGTCAAATCTCCAATCAATCAATCACCCAGGGCGCCACAACCGTGACTGTGAAAGTGGCAGCCAAACCTCAATATCAAAGTCCTACCCACTCTTTCCCTCAGAGGTCTGTTTTGTTTTTGTTTTATTTATATATTTTTTAACCTTTTAGGTTCATCGCAGGGACTCCCGAAACACGACGCCGACGTCGCCCCATCTAGCTTAGACAGGGGAATTCGACTTCTACACATCCGTGCGTTGCAGATCGGGAGCTCAGGGTGATTTAGCCATTGAGAGCCTCAACCCCGGCCGTCGTTGCGTTATTACGTTATGCTACATCCCCCAGCCAAGTCAAGCAGCTTTGTGAAATTGGGCGTGCCCAGCCCCGTGGCAGCGTCCCAGCCAACTATGGCCTTCCACCCAGCGCCGGGAACCTCGGGCGCATCGAGGCCCGAGGCAGTCGTGTTCTCGCACCCCCTAGACGATCCCTGTGTGATGTCCGTGAGCGCCTTGTATCCGTTGCTGTACAGCCAGGGGTTCAAGAAACCCAGGGGCTTGTGCCCCTTGGACATGCGGACGGAGTTGATGTTTGCGATGATGGCGGCCCAGGTGGGCGTGGCCGCGCTGGTGCCACCGCTCAATTGCTCCACGCCCAGATGGAAGATGGGGAACGTGATCCAGGCCTGGGCCGCGACGTCCGGAATCGCCCTCCCGGTCCTGTTGTACAGGTCCTTGAACTTGTCCTTGACGGTGCCGTTGAGGTACGCTTCGACCACCTCGCGCTGGTACGCGGGCCGGGCAAACACGTCGCTGAAGCCGCCTCCCGACATGACCTCTGCGATCTCGGGCTGCACCAGGCCCGTGCCGCCCACGCTCGTGACCCACGGGCAACTGGCGGGGAACTGCGGCATGAAGCGCGTCGCGTTGCGGCCGTCGTTGGTCATGCAGCCGTCCCCCGGCCCGCCGTCACCGCTGGACGCAAGCACGCTGACACCACGGGCGCCGAGCTTGGCGAACAGCTGGCACACGCTGAGCATGTAGGACAGTGGGTGGCTCTGCTCGTCCTCGGCGTACGAGATACTGATCACCTGCGGCAGGTCCTCGTTGGTCAGGTTGAGCATGTACTGCAAGTACTCGAGGAACGGCTCCTGCTCGTTTAGTGCTCCCGGGATGTCGGGCTGTTGGAGGTCATGGATCAAGGGACCCCTGCCGCCGACCTTGTAGAAGTGCACCGGCGTCGGGTACGACAGGGTCAGGCCGTACTGGACGTCCATGTTTGCCTCGGAGGCCCAGGCTGCGTCTGTGGATTGGTTGTTGACACCGCCATTTACTGACGTGATGGAGAAGTTTGCGCCGCGCGCGTACGGCGCCCATTTGTCAACGAACAGTGCCAGGTCATGGCGCACGACGTTCTGGCTGGCGAAGGCGGGGATTCCCAGACGCGACCCAGAGCTGGCGTTGGCGCGGAAGTTGCCCAGTCCGTAGAGAGCGCGGATACAGTCTGGCGAGGTGGTGGTGTTGCAGTATGTTGCATTCAGTTTGGTTGCTGAGCCATAGACGGGGATCGAGTCGGTGGGTGGGCCGGGCTGTTGAGCCGGACGGGAACGGGCGAAATGTGTCGTTGGCTGGATCGTTTGGATGAATGGATGGAGACTGTCAGGGATGGAGTACTGGAGGGTGCGAATGCGCCAGCTATTGTCCGCGCGGTTGCGGAAGTAGTGGAATCTCGTGTCGAGGAGTGTCTCTGCCAGCGCGACGCTAGCGACAACGTTGATCCAGTCTCCGTTGTCTTCGATGTCCGCGGCCTCCACACCCTGAGCCTCGAACCAGGACAGCACGGCGTTGGAGACGGCCTGCTCAGGACGCATGAGGGCGTTGAGCGAGTGGGCGTCATAGTGCTGGCCGTACAGCTCGTGCTCGGGACTCGAGATTCTCAGCAACTCTTCCTGAAGGAAAGCGTACTTGTCGTCCTGGCGAATGGCTATGCGCAGCTTGAGACGTGCGCTGGCCGGAGCAGGCGCTCCCTGGTCCCAACCGTCAGGGACGGCGGCGAGTTGCTCAAAAACCCTGAGCTCCGGGCCGCCGTCGGGGGCACCAGTGTTGGCGATGCTGCTGGCCAAGAGGGCCAACGCACAAAGCGCAAGTGACCTGACAGTGAACTTCAACATCAGCCCTAGGCAGGTAGTAATATGCTCAGACTTTGAATAAATAAGGAAGTCTTTCGAGGCTTAGAGAGCCCAGTGTAACTCTTTTCTCGCATTGAGATGCGGCTTTACGTCCATTCTATAAGTACACCGTACGGAGTGTTAATTTGTATGCCTGGTCTCTTGTTCGATCGGCATAAGGCTGTGCAGTGTAGGATCCGAGTCTAAACCCACCACAGGTCCATGAAGTGGGTATGTTCTGGATCAACTAGGTCCCAGGCACCACCCCACACGTTCCGCTGCAGGCCTTGCAAGGTACCTACCGAGGCTACCTAGGCACCTGGGTATTAGGAATAATGCTGCCTACATACCATATGCGACTTAATGGGTATCCTCGTGGGCGACGGTCTCTGACGAGAGAAAGCACCCGAAAGCAGGATTTAATGCAGATTCAAGCATCTTTGTCCGGCACTCGACCCTCAGCCTTTTGTTCGATGTGCCGTGCCATGAGGATCCGGAAGCCTTCGTGGGGACTGAAAGGCGTGTCACCAGACTCACTACCCTCGCTCGTGTTCCGACCAGTCAACCAGGACGACGGAGACGGACGTAAAACACCACCGGCCCGGAGAGCTAATACATTCATAAATGGGAACGAATAAATAAGAACCAATGCAGTGACGAGTCTAGCGGGAAGCAGAGACAGTGCTGAAAGGGATGGCAGGCACTCTGGACGGGATTGATTGGCCCGTACAATCAGCAGGACTATGATCATTGAGGACGACGTCTATTTTTGGTGGAGGGCCGGGAGACTCTGAGGGCGGCTGGCCGCTTCACGGCCCAGTAGTGCTACCGGGAGTACCCATATCTCTTTGTACCTCCCGGTGGTATACTTATAGTAGTTAGCGTTTTCAACCCCGCTTCAACCTTACATAACTCAATATCAAGACCCATATTTTCGGTCCGCTGCGGCTATAACTCTGGACGATATTCAAGTCACGCGTAGCTTCTCCAAGCCCCCAACCAACAGGAAAAATTGTTCCCACTAGTTGTGGCGGTGTACAGTCCATTACAGAAGACGTTAGCTCACAAAAGTGGCGGCTGTTTTAGCGAACAGCGGCAATAATTCAACCTAACTCGACAACGCAGGCAGCAGCCCGAATTGCTGCCCTGTGTCGAAGGACAACACCTCTCTTTCTCAAAGACTGACGGCGTGAGCCAGGAGACACAGCATTGACCCGAAGTTGACAAAGTCGAAAAAGATACTCTCGACGAACCGCCGCAATCATTACACATTCTCCAAAATGCCTCCTGCTCCGCACTGCAGAAGCTGCACTTGCAACAGAAATGGACTTACCACATCTCTAAACATCGCATTCCAGATACTAGGAATACTTGCCGCTGTCACATTTGGCGTCTTCGGGGCCCTCCAATGGTCTCAGGCAAATTCGAGCAACCTCCTGGGAGCGCAGTTTAATATTATCAACTTCTGTCTTGCCAATCAGGTGCGTGTTGATTCTCATCCGTGTTATGCCAGTTCTGAGGTGGCTTTAGGAATTTCGAAATACAGAGGCTTGCCGCCAAGCTCTTGGAGCCACGGAGCAATTGCTACCTAGATTTGCAGAAGTGGCAATGTGTCAGGCTTATGGGGACATTCACCCTGTTTATGTGGATCCGCACCTCACAGGCTCTCCCACATCTCTAGCAAGTGGTCCTGTATCTACGGCAACTTAGATTTGGAGGAGAGACTCTGTTTGTACAGCCCGACGTTCCATGCAACCGCCAAGGTATTGGATAGCGGCAGTTAGGGAAACAAAATCAGAGTCTTGGAAGGGGAGAAACTTTGATTGAAACATATACTCCACGAGGAGATTCGAGAAGTGGAACAAGTGACTAACAGCAGGAATGTGATTATCCGACAGGAAAGGAAGTCGTTCAGACAGATACCCAGAAAGGAACGACAACTCAATATACTTGGGCATGAGCTAAATGCGTAGAAAAGCAAGCGTCGAAGTTCCCCCCTTCCCTGACCTCTGTCATATTGCCAGACTATTATTTCGTGGGTAAGGAGTGTGCGCGACTCGAATCACCGACCTTACCGCGTATGCCCTGATGGCGGCGTCGAGAAGTTATATCACTGGGCAAACAAGACGGACAGCATGCTACATGGGCCAAGTCGTATGAAGCACCTACGTCCACGTCCCTGCTGAGCGTCTGGAAGACTGACACGATACTACACCATGAGCTTGAAACAAGATCCCCAACATATTGTTGACTACTACCCAGCCGAGACACGGTGCCATCCCGCAGGTGGGCGTGTGGTCACCACGTTGCGACCATGGATCCGTCCTAGCACGTAGCTGTTGTTATCGTGCGCGCCCGGCCCTTGGATTGTTCATGGTTTTTATTGAGCATGGCTCGGGCGGCTGTCAGCTCTTTGGGGAGGGCGCGGACCCAGCCCACCTGGTACGCTTCGATTGGTGAGGCACCGTCGAGGAAGTTTGTGGATTCGGACAATGAGTTTACAATGGCGGCAAGGCTGGCGACTTCGGGATGAGCGACGTGGAAGCCTATGGTAGAATACGTGGTCTGGCCGAACGTTGAATCTGGCTATTTTGCAGGCGACGCCTAGATGTACCTGAACCTTTTGATGGTGATATTCGATTGGTGCTGGGATGAGCGCTCCATGGTACCGACACGGGACCATGGCCTTTTGAGCTCAGCGGCTCGCTGGACTCACAGAGGCCGATTTCATTCAACGTGGAAAACGGACGATACTGTACCGGAATGCGTCCACCTTTTTCTGTGGTGACCATTTTGTATTTTCTTCGGTTCATCGCTTCCTACCCTGCGAAATCGGCGACGGCTATTGGTCTACTCGGTGGTTGAGTTGGGATAGATTAATGCCGCTTTCGGGCTACGGCGCTACCACTACTTTTTGGAGGTACATAGTGGTGAATGTCATATAATACTGTAAGATCTCAAATGTGATCAGAATATGGCTCCTGCTGATTAGCCTAATGCGAGCGAGGTCCAGCAGGTCCTCGGTCACATCAAGCTGCGAGAATACCATTTTTCCGGCGGGCCTCAGCCCGAAGCTTGCTGGCTGGTTGCCTACCCTCGCCTGCTCAAGACAAAGGTTCTTCGTTTCCAAGCTTAGGAGCCAACCATGCATAACAATCATACTCTGTAAAGCCGCTGGAATTACGCACGATGCCCATGCTGGTTAGTATCGGCAGACGCGCACCTGAGAGCTCTGAGCGGCTTCCCCTCGTCCTCTTCTTTTACGACAATGGCGCTGGACAGCTTGATTGGGCCTTATGTGTAAAGGGGAAAGGGACGCATGTGATGAAAACCGGCCGTTTCGAGTTCTGGGATTCTGGAATTGTCTACTTCTTCAGACAAATGTACAAAACCGGGTGATAGGAAAAGGGCCATCTCTCAGGTCATGGATCCCATCAAAATCAACCCAAAGCCCTCGTCAAAAAGTCGCCGTCGCTCATGATGCATAAAACCTCGGATAGCAAATGTGGTCCGTCAGTGACTCCACCGTATCAAATGTCCACTCCTGCGGTCGATTGTACTTCTCTGACGCACAAGCTGTGCAGCCAAGCCCAACCAAACCCAGCGCCAAGACGCAGCGGAAACGACAGAAAGATATTGATCGTTCGTTCTCGTTGCTCTCATCGATTTGTGTTGAAAAACCAACTGCTTCGTTTATTGCCTCCTTCTGATCCGCTCAGGTTTGAGATAATCGGTAAGCCAGGCGCCCCATTGGCTCCATCGAGATGTGACGGCGCACCGCCACCTCCACGGAGGGGTTTGGCTATCCTTGCACCAGCGTTCATGAGGTTAAATCCACCGGGCACGCCAGCTCCAGCAGTCGCCATGTTTCTTGATGATACTTTTGCGGCTTCGAGACGTTCCTTGACGGCAGCAAGTTGTGCCTCGAATCTGTGAAGAGTTGTCAGTTTTCGACTCGGGTGCAAGAAAAGTAGCATATACATACCTGTGGTTAGCTGCTGTCAATTTGTCTTGGCTCTCAGCCAACAAACTCTCCAGACTCAGGATCCGTTCGTTTCGGGCAATCAGTTTTCGTTCCGCGATGGCGACTTCCTTCTTCAGGCTAGTGTTCTGGTCGACAAGCTGCCTCTGCACGACTGTGAGTTGCTCAAGGTTGCGTTCCAAGAATGCCATCTTCTTCTGTTGTTGACGATTATTGCTGGATCGAAGCACGTTGTTGTATTGCTCACGTGTCTCATCTAGTGAGATCTCCAGCTCGACTACGCGCTCGCACCGGTTCTGTAGATCACGCATCAGGTTCTTCTTCATAGATTCGAAGTCGGCGATTTGTTGTTGTAAAGTCTTGCTCGTAACGCCGTTGGCTACGCCCGCGCCGTTGGCTGCACCACGTGACTGGAGGTCCGTGATGGTTTTCTGTAGCCGGTCGATTTCCTGCGACCTGTGTGTAAGTTGATCTCGCAAGTCGTGCACAAGCTCGCTTTGGGCATCCCTGCGGTCCGAGAACAACTGCTCGAGTCGTCCCTTGACATCTTCCACGTCTTCGGGTCTCAATTTCCGAGTCAACAAGTCTTCATAATCTTGCTGCATAGCGGCCAGTTTCTCCTCCAGCGCGACTGTTCGATCCTCGTGATCGTCCTCGGCGCGTTCATTGAGAGATTTCTCTGCCTGTCGAACTAGCGTCTGTGATTCCAACAGTTTCGAGCGTAGGTCTTCAAGCACATGGCTTGGAACAGCTTCGCCGTTAAGGCTTGCAGCATGCAATGCCTCCACTTGATTAAGCATCTCTCGCATACGAATTTCGTTGTCGGAGAACGCTCCATCACCTAGGTCAAAGCCTGCCATCATCTTTGCCATTTTCTCTTTCTTTTTGCGATCCTTTTCGTCCAAGGCCGCCGTGGTCTCTTTGGCACTCATCTTGAGTTCCAGCAGCTGCTGCTTGACCGAAATTAGCTCGGCCTCTAGCTCTGAGTTCGCGTCTTTCAACCCTTCCATCGTGATTGCATCCTCCTTGCTCTGGTACGACAACTTTTGTAGCTCTAATTGCGACTTGTTCAGTTTATCCGCCATGGTCTCGTTCTCCTTGGCTGTCCGCATGGCACCTTCCTTGTATGACTTGAGTTCTTCTCGAGCCTCTTGGAGGCTTCGCTCCGCATTGGCTACTTGGGTCTCCTTTTCAGTAAGTTGGTCTTGAAGTTCATTCTCGCGGCGCAAGAATTCCTCTCGCTCGTCTTTCTCGAGTATAATGCTGGGCGTACTTGATCTTTCGCCCGTCCGTGAATCGGGCCTACTAGGGGTGTCTGATCTGAGAAGTTCTGATGGCGCTCTTGAAGGTGTGTCCGGTCTTGCCTTGGCTTCTGATTTCTGTCCTGAACCCCCTAAAGGAGGCACCCATTTTTCTTTGGGCACCGTCTCGCCCTTCCGCCATAGCTGTAGCTCCGAATCCAATGATGCAATATACTTTTCAAAAGTCATGGTCTGGTTCTGAGCAATCTTGAGCTGGCGCTTGAGCTCCGCAGGACTTAACTCGGCGTTGATTTTGGCCTTGTTCTTGATCGTCTTTGCTCTCATACCGAATCGCAGGGTGCTGACGGTTTCGGCATCATTGTAGCTGCTGGGGGAACAATTTATAATCAGCGTCGTTCTTGAATTACCGCCCAAGCTTTCCTGCAGAATCCGGGTCAACTTGGAGTCTCGATAGGGGACATGTGTTGATTTGCCATCTGTCAGTGCATTGATGACCATTCCGAGTGCGCTTAAGCTCTTGTTGATCTTCTTTGCTTCTTCTAATGTCTGTCCACTGGCGCCCGTCTTGCCGACCTTTTCTGAACCCGCCAAGTCTACGAGATATAGCATACCACTCTTTTGCGAACCGGTGTTGACATCCTTTTGATTTATGGTAACCAAGAATATTGAATGCGAACGCGATGACTCCAGATTCATGTTGGTGGACGCGGTGACTCTTGATCTCTGGCCCAGATGCATAGCCGTATAGACTTCCTCCACGGTATTGACATAAATTTCGCGCAGACCTTTCACATATGGGCCCCTTGGTCCTTCGTTGATGGGAAGATTGTCCATAACGGGGTTCAGCAGATCACGTATTCGTTCCATGTAAATTTCCAGGTAAGAGATGCCCACGGTATATTCGATTTGCGCGGAACCGTGAACAAGAATGGAATCGAATATCTGTTCGGTGATTCGAGGAATTATACCCTTCTTGTCTGGATCGTCCATGTCTCCCATCATCGTATAAGACTTTCCAGCACCAGTCTGGCCGTAGGCGAAGACCGTGCCGTTGTAACCATTCATAACATCTTCCACCGTGGACCTTATGGAGAAATCAAATATGTTGGCTTGTTGAGAGGACATGTCAAAGACTCGATCGAACGTGAAGGGGGCATTGGTTTCGGAGGACTGCTCATGTATGAGTTGGAGTGTTTCGTCGGGTACGTTTGGGTCAACAGGAGGAACATTACCTGAAGCTGGACGGTGTCGTCGCCCATGAATTGGACAATCGGTTGGCCTCCATTCGCGAGTTCGACTTTGTTCTGCGGACGGAAACGGGCAACAACTGTAGACGCAGTTAGCGAGGTATCGGACGAAGGAAATCGAACACGAAGTCTTACCTTTGATGTTGTTCCCGCCTCCGCTACTTCCTGCGGCAGAACTGGAATTCATGGTCAGCTCTGACACGTTGGGAAGCGATGGGTCGTTGAAACATACGCCATGGTTATTCAAAACTCGGCGATGTCAATCTGGCCAGGCGGAAAGCATCAGTTCTCCTGGGTGACGGCCCGACTGCGCGGGTCAGGTTGTAAACAGGGCCAATTCAGGGTCGCGGAGCCCCAATGTTGACGGAGCGGCCGAGAACGGGAGAATCAGCGTCGAAGAGGGATGGTAGGGTGAAGATTGAGAGCGCAGTCAACCGTAGTGTCGAAGCCGAGCAGCTGTAGGAATACTTTTTGGGCAAAATCTCCACCTTGGTTGGCGACGACAAGGTGTCAGGCACACACGCGGTGCTCGCAGGTGCAGATGCAGATGCAGAGTGCCAGGCGTGCCTGCAGTGACAGCCTGGTGGCCCCCTAGCCTCTGGTCTTGTTGACGCGTGAGTCTTTAAAGTTGGACCCTTGGCGCCTGAAACAGCGGCACCCTTGTCATCTAACTGGCCTAATTGGCCCTGCGCCCTTGCCCGACGACACCCGGGGCTTCCTGTAAACGCGACTCGACACCTGCCAATCCTCAGCAGGCTCCTGATATGGCGCCACGTGTGGCGCCGCATCTCCTCACCTCCTCACCTCCTCGCCATCCTCCCGCTTCCAACACAGTTCATCGAGTACTCGGTACCGAGCTCGCAGGCAATCAAGTTTAGTAATTGTCCATATATACGCCTTGACGAGCACAGGATCTCTTCGGGCCAACAAATACCCAGGGCAAAGGTGAAGAACATATTAAAACTCCTCAGGCAGAAGATCAAACGCCTTTCTCTCTCTCCCTCGATTCCTTAAGTTTTACCTGAAGCAGTCAGATTCTCTGCCACCATTGTTGAATGAACCCTTGTGCCCTCTCTATCAACCAACCATGGCAGCAGAAGCAGTAGCACAGACTTCTCAGCTCTTCTCCTCGCTCAGACTCGCCCGCAATGTCACCAAGACATCGTCTGGCTCAGAAGTCGTTAGCTACATATCTGACCTAGGGCCCGACTCTCCTATACTGACTCTGATTCATGGCTATCCTCAATCTGCTTATGAGTGAGGCATCCTTCTCGCAGCTGTGACCATTTGCTGAAGGCTGACTGTTGCAATCAGATGGCGTCATGTTGGTTTCCCCCCTCGCCCTTGGTAACCCCCTTCCCCATCACGTGCCACAAAGCCTTACCAATACACAAGATGCGGCATTCGCTAGCACCGCCCTGTCCTCAATCCCCGACATCGTTGTTTCAATTACTTAGCAATACAACAGGTGGTCCCTCTCCTCCAAGGCAAGTTCTCCTTATTCGTACCCGAGCTCCCGGGGTACGGTACCTCAACGCCCATCCGCGACCCAGCGTCTAACACCAAACGAGCCGTCGGCACCGCGTTACTGGAGGCTCTCGCCGATGTCTTCCAGACCAAAACGGCCTCTTCTCCAAGACGAATCATCCTAGGCGGCCACGACCGTGGCGCGCGAATCAGCCATCGCCTCTCAGTCGACTTCTCGCACCCGCATCAATCCTCACCAAACCTTTACAAGGACTTGAACCTGACAATCCTCGGCACAATCCTGCTCGACATAGTCCCGACAAAGGAACAATGGACCGCTTTCTCGGACCCGGCCATAAGCCAGGGATACTTCCACTGGCCACTCCTAGCAAACGCGGATCTGGCGACGGAGATGATCTCCGCGTTCGGCGGCGCCAACTGGGCTAAGGGTGCACACACACGCATCTCCGGCCCAAACCCGAAATCGCTGGAGAGAATCGTTTCGCAAAACGCGCTCGACGTCTACGGCGGTCTGTTCAGCGAGAGAGAAACCATCTACTACTCCTGTCTTGACTACGCGGCCGGCGCGGCGCCCGAGGCGACAGAGCAGGATGAGGACCAGAAGGCGGGCAGAAAAGTCGGCGTACCCCTGCTTGTCATGTTTAGTAAAGCTAAGCTGGGGGCGCGGATTGACGTCGAGGGGGTGTGGAAAGGGTGGGTCGCCGAAGGTGTGGATTATGAGGGATACGGCGTGGGTGACGGATATGGGCATTACTTACCCGAAGAGGCCTTTGAGGTCGTAGCAGAGAAGGTGTCGGCGTTTATCAAAAAGGTGACTTGATTAGAAGAATGACGATAACGACGACGACGACGGATGATCCATCAGCCGCGTGGCAGAGCGAGGCTAATGAGTATTTATTTCAATATGAACGAACTGCGTCATGACTAGATAGATGCCAGAATATGATCAACCGTGTCTCGTGAGCAAGGGAGCGAGGTTTCATTACCACATTACATTATGTGCTGGCGAGTATCTCATGAAAGGTCATTTAAGGGGTGATTCCCCCACCACGGTTTACGGTTTTACATCCTGTCCTGCCCTGTCCCGTTCGGGCCCCGACCAACTTGCCATTCTTTTCTCACGGGGATCTCTCGACGGCCGTCCACCGTCTCTTCCCGGGACTCCTCTCGCGCTTAATTGAAGATTCACCGCCCCAAAGCCCCGCCTGACTCGCGCTACGGACAGGTAAGAGGGGGGAGGAGCCTGATTTCTCGTCACTGCCCATGACCTTCAGGTTCACTCCGCTGCCACGACCGCTCCAGAGCGTGAACTCCTCTTGTATACTGTCTGAGCAACCGACGCTGAGCGAACTTGGTGTTGCGAAAGCGTCACTTGACGACTCGGTCGTCTCGTCGCGGGAGTATCGACTTCCTCGCCGCCACAGTCCCGTGGGAGGCTCATCATCCACTGTGTCTGCTGCATGGGATCTCTGACTTATGCTTCTAGCAGGCATCAGCGATGCAGAGCCGCGCGGCGCCACTGACTCCCCTAGGCTGAGTCCTTCGGGGGAATCGGCTCCAACAGCTCGACGACTGGCAAATGCCGGTGACTTTCCAAGCCGAGGTGAGTTCAAGCCTAGTGGATTGGACGGGGCACGGAGGTGTTCAGTAGATGCTATGATTTTCATGTCGTAGTCCTCCGATATGGTCAAATCCAGAGATCCTCTTCTGCGTGTTGGAGACAATGGTTCCGAGGGAGCTTGCTGGGCTTCTTTTCTCACTGCCATAGACAAGGAAGAAAGGCCCACGTCGCGCAAAGCCGGTGCGGCTGTAAGCAACCTGATCAGAGCATTGCAGCCGGCCTGATGGGTAACCAGAATGACCACGAGTTCTTCGTCGTCATCTTGCTCGTCACGGTTGTTCCCACCTGCGTCATTCTGGCTCTCGTAGAATGCAATCATTTTCTGCAGACCATTGCGAAACCTTCGATGCATTTTCCCCCAATCCTCGTCGAAGGGCCCACCATCGCCCCAGTCAAGTGGTTCATTCTGGCTGTCCCAGTCCCGGTCAATCTCTACACAAGCATCTCGTGCATGAGCCACAAATCCCGGGGGGATTTTGTCAGAAGATCCAATTGCATAATTTGGCATGGGAGGGCTATAACCCAAAGGTCCTTGAAGAGCTCTGTTCAATATCCGCGCACCATTTGCTAACTCGGTCGCAAAAGAGATATTGCGTGGACGCTTGGGAAGAGAATGGCCAACGGCCGCCATAGCCCGTAAGCCGGTCTTTTCATGGACTGGTACAGGTGTGATTTCGATTTCTGCCTCTTCCGTGTCGACTGGTGGCAGGTTAAAGGCGAGGGAACTTGAGAGATCGGCGCCTTTAATCTCTTCTTGTGGGGTTTGTAGGCTCATCTTCGCTTGTGAGACGAGGACGGCGGAAGGGGGAGGAGCAGAGCCTTCTTGGAAATAGCCGGCAGATTGCCATTCCCCCAGAAATGCATCAATGCGCAACTTGCAGGTGTTGTAGCCAAGACGGTTTGTGTGCTCCTTGTCGTTGCTCGTTACGCGTTCGAGAGACGCTCGGTCAACTTCACTCGAGTCCGCAGCCGTGTCCAGCGCTTCGTCCATGGGCGAGAGGTTAGAGCGGGACGAGAGTTGGCGCGACTTCATGTGCGGCCGAGAGTGGTTCTGAGGATGTTGTATGCCCGCGGCAATCGCAATAGAAGATTGGACACATCGCAGATATGGCGAACTGTGGATGATAATCTTCCGTCTCTTGCGAGGCTGAGCCTCTTGCACACCGTCTTCCTTGCCCTCACTTTGAGGTTTGGATTGCTTGTTGAGGTTATGCAGTTCACTGTTGATCCTCAAACCCAAGGTTTGGCACTGGATCCAGCCGCCATAGGACAGAGGAGGGTCGTAAGGGGCTTCGGCAGTGGCGGTCCAATTCCTATCCGCCTGATCAAGACGGGCGCCGTGACTATTAAACAAGAATCAGCGTCGACGTTCGAAAAACCAAGAAAATTGGGAAGGATGTTGCACCGGACGACAAAGACTACAGCTGGCTGTTTCCCCATTTTGAAGGACTGGCTCTTCCAGCGCCAATGAGTACTATTCAGATATTGCAATGTGAACGTAGGGGATATACGTCAATGTTGCAGAATTGCGGGGGTAGGGCTGGCAACACAAAGGAGTCGGTTCCCGACAGCGAGACAGAACTGAAAAGCAATGAGACGTGCCGGGTCACCCCAGGCGTAGACGCGACATCTTGAAGGAGAGAGTAAAATGTACCAGGTTGATGGTACAATACAAAAGTCGAGACTGCGAGAGAAGTGGCGAGAAAACAGAATTCACTTGTGTTTGGTTGCAGGCGACGGTTTGGACGGTCAAGGACGGTGAAGGGTCACGGTGGGAATTATTTTGGGTGCGTCGGCTGCGGCGTGAATCCGGATTGTGACATCGACATCCATTTCACTCCCCATTCACTCATCGGTCCGCCTGCTTCTTCGGCCTTGACAAACACATCAACACACATTCAGGTCAGTGGGCGGAATTTGTTCCAGGTATGGACACTGCCAGCTTCTTGTTGGTACGTTTATCCCCAGTCACTGACACTGGCAAACGTCAAGCGCACGATGTCAATCTTGCCACAAAGGTCACAATGAACCAGGGAGACCGGTACTCCAGACTCAACCCGTGAACTGCGCTGTAAAACCGTTTGAAGATACTCATCGGCTGCTACAATTGTCTTACGGGTTCCAGCCATCAACCAGGTACGAGGTACTTGGAAGGACAAGAGCAGGCGACAACCTCGACAACCTCGGCAAGCCTCCAGTACCCGCTTGGTGTCTCTCTCCGTTTCATCCACGGGCGTCGGGCGGCATCATGATAGTCCGCAGCGGTCCTCGTCTCGGACCGGCAGCCCGCGTATCTCTTGATCAATCTCGTTTCAAAATTGAACACCAAGAAAAAGGCCTCGAACACGCGCACAAGCAAGCTTACTTATTCTCCGGGAGGACTTGACAGGAGACGCTAATCCATGGCCGTATTCATCTCGCTTGAAACCTGATGTTCTGCTAGATCAGCAGGGCGGGCTTCACTTCGAACATGGGATTTGCACAGTTGCACTGGGATTAGGGCAGTTGGTCAGGGAGAGCTCATGGGTAAAAGAGCAGGACAATGGAGAAGAACCCGCCGATGGGATTTTGTGAGGTGGCAAAAGGTAAGGAATCAATCTTGCTCTTGTGGATGACCAGGCGCGGCTCGTGAGGCCAGGATCTTGCCAGCTCACCCACCCTCTTTTGGACCGTTTCATGTTGGTGGAGCAGCCACTACAACTCGGCCCCTGGAGCAACCTGAATGGGCGAAGCCCGCAATGCTCTAATGGAGTCTCGACAATACTCGGTACTTAGATACATACAATAGGTACTGTACCCCCCGGCAATTTTAGCGATGAGGGATCTGCCGCGCCCGTGCTCACGACGCCTCAAGCGCGTCCTGTTAGCAGGGCTCAAGGCCCTGACTTGAGTTGATGATGGTACACCAGTCATGGTTGGTCTGCTTTTCTTCCTCATGGACACCACAGTTCACAATACGAAGGAAAGGGGAGGCTACAGTACGTACAAGGCGCAGAGTCTGATTGCCAATTCGTCGGCATTGTCCTGCTACCTTCCCTTGCTTTTTCCTCCCTTCTGAGTTGTGTGTTTCGAAGAGCTGGTCACAACCCACTAACTCTCCACATTGGTCCATCGTTAGGCATCCGACCATGCCGATGGTGTCCTCTTGTTCCTGACGATCTGGAGCCAGGAGTTTGCGGCTGCATCCAATGCCATCGCCTGCTTTCCTCGTGCCCCTTGCATGGCGCAGGCATTCTGCCTTGTTCCTACTGGCACTCGGAGGAGGGATCCCAGTGGCTCTGTTGCGAAGGTCAGTCGATCCACGTCGCTTCTTGTTCTTTCGCGCGTTTCAAAGTCCTCATTCATCTTTTTGCTTGTACCCGTTCGTCGAAGATGGACTTGTTCTTTCTTTGACCGGCAACCTGCATTGTCATGATCTACCTCGTACTGTACCTTCTTATCCACTCTCTTCTGAAGCGGATTGCGCACCTGATAATCGAGATTCTTCGTCCCGTGCCCGCTCTCGCTTTCGTTCGCCTCTTATCCGTTCCTGCATCCTGTGGCTCACTCTCAAATTGATTTGTCCAGATTGGCAAATCCGCCCTCAACAATGACGCTATCTTCCTTTCATTTGCAACAAGGTCCTGGCCCCCAGGGATCAATACGTGGTCAAAGCATTAGGGCTGGCAGTCCCAAGCTAGACCCCTCGTCATGATTTCAATCCATCCAGGGCCGTTAGAACTATTTCCACCATCCTGTCAGAAGCGGGAAGCCTGGCAAGAGGCCAAAGGCAAACTTTTGGATCCTTTATCCACATGCTTCCCGCTCCCATTGAACGGTTCCCACGCGAGAGAGTCGTCACTAAGTATCGTTATTGGTCCAGGCATCTTCCCTGTTGACATCGGACTTTTGCTGCTTCTCTTTTCTCCTCACGGAACCTTGCTATCTACTTCACTCATTACTGTACTCCGTCCATTTCGTTGCTTTTAACTTGCTGGTTCTTGTTTCTCATTCGTGTCCTCCGCTTCAGCCGGAACTCTTCTCTTCAACTCGACATTCTCGTTTCCGTCTCTCTTTTGCTCACTTTTGTCCCTATCGAAGAGTTATTTCCGATCCCATACTCTCCCGTGCCATTCCAAATTCTACTCACTTCCTGACCGGCGTATCCTTGGTCTTCGCGGCAACAATCCGCAAATAATCGCAAAGACCGTTTTTCACCGATACCGGCAAATCTGAATTCGAGTCTTCTCAGTTCAAGTGTCCTGAGGGTCGTGTCAGCTCCTGTCAACCTTCCGGCCAGCTAACGCCAGGCACCTCGACATCTTATCAGTTGATCCTTGCACCAGCTGTCAATGCATCCGTCACCGAATATATCATCTTAACCCTATAACTGGGACACTCACTCTCCACTGAGTACCTACGACCCTTTCGAGGGGACCCGATGTTCCCTATCCTTGTCGCGGCGTGTTATCTTTCTTCATGACGACTCTTCTCGATGACACTGGGTTACCGGTATGGGTTTACATCGTCATAATTGCTGTCGGCTCGATCCTTCTGTTGCTCACCATTGCTGCTGCGTTACGATGTTGGTTTCTGCGTCGGAGGGCCAACCAACGGAGAGAGGTGGACAACCTCACCGGCCCTCTTCGCCGCGTTACCTTGAGACGGGGGCGGATAGTTCCAACTTCACAACACCTGTCTTTAACAGGCTCTAAGTTCGGCATGAGGCAGTTTGGGGTTCTAGCAGACAACGAATCGACCATGACTGGTAGAAAAAGTCCTTTCGAATGGTGGAGCACCATTATGGACCGATCACAGTCTCGACAAGAATACATGTCTCAAGCGGAGACTGGATCAATAAATACTCGACCCACGTCCAGAGCCACCACCATTACACTTCGAAGGGAATTGTTCACTGCCACTCCCGTCCAGACTCCCGAAAGATCTAAAGAGCCGCTTGCCACGAGAACTTGGGAAATAACAATCCCTTCACCATCGCCATCGCCGTCACCATTAGGACCAAATAAGCATACCAACTTTTCCAGATCATTCAGCAATCGTGCTCCTTCATCACCGGTCACACAAAGATCTCAAGCGACTCTTTCCCGAATATTAGAACGTTCGCCTCATCAGTCTATGATCAGTACAGCAAACGGACCGAATATGTCCCCACTGCCTCGTTCTTCTTACCATTCCGCAATAAACCCGTTGGATAGCACACCGCTGGCAGGGCAATCACCACAGCCTAGCCCTGCCATCCCGCGGGAGCAAATGACTCTTACCGTCCCGGCTGCGACTACTCGATCCAAGACGTCGCTAAGTCGACAACAAGACCACCCCAGCTCCTCAAACTTGATACCCTCATCCAACAGACAACATGAGCTAAACCCTTCGCCACCGACAGCATCTCGTCTTCTAGAACCGAAGCCGCTCCCGTATCCAATGCCCCCATCAGCTACGCACTCAAGCCTTGCCGATGTCCGCTCTCAAGTCTCTAGTTCCTTTTACCGACAGATGAATCAATCTCAGGCCAATCTGTCTCATCCACGCCAAGACAGCAAGACCAACTCTCCTGCCACGTCCACTACAAACCTATCTAGGATGTCCGTCTCCAGCATTGGCCCTAGCGGAATCATCTATGAAACCCAGGTTCCCCGTTTACATCACTCCACGGATTATTGGTCAACCAGGTTGGATATACACGACGTTTCTTCTCATGAACGAAATAGCTCCGCGCCTCGCTCTGGCCACTCTTCTCGAAATTCAAGCACAGACCAAACACTACGGCCTCAGAACTCCTCTCCTGGTCAATACAGAGAGCAGGAGAGGGAGAACGTCATGGGGATCTTAACGGTGCCCGGGAAGAACAATCAGAAAGTCCTCAGAAAGAAGTCTTTGAAGAGAATGCAAGTTGTCAGCTCAGTTGCAACATAGGCTGACATGAGCTCGAGGATATGGATTCAGTGGTTGTGGGTGGTAATATGCTATTCTTACTCATTTTCTTTTCGAGCGGCGACGATCTTTCTGACGAAACACCATGACCAACTTCCTGAGGGTATTGCGTTTTCCCGGGGGATGCGCCCCACAAGTCTACACACGGCCGAGACGACCTCTTTGACCTTCACTTATACCTGGCTTACGAAGTTTTTGGTTTCAGATAACTGGGTCTGGAATCTGGGATCTGAGACAATCTTTTTCCATTGATGTCACTATATTGGGCTTGCCCCTTCATCGAGGTTTCGCCTCCCTATGTACCTACCTTCACTTACGAAAACAAACCACACTCCGCCGCTCAGCAGCAGGCAAATAAATCTATTCTACTTTTGTTTTTGTTTTTTTGTTTTTTTGAATTATCACTATTTTACAGAATTGGCCAAGTTTCGACTCGGTATCGTCAGGAGGACCACATCCCCGCTTTGCGGCCTGAGGAAGAAAGAATGTTGAACCCTGGCGTGTGTGGTAATGAGGTACCTACGTAGCAAGACAGGAGCTCGTACGTCCAAAACAGTACAAAGGCGAGAACTACATACCCAGAGAAGGTACACATAGCAAAATTAATCACAAATACAGTGGCCAGACGTACCCTCCGAGAAGGATGGCTAGCGTCATCCTTGGTCGTCTCAAGTGTGCGACTTACCTAGTAGTGTGTGTTTAGAGTGCTCCATTTGTATAGTCGTGCCTTCGCCGTGAGGGAATACAATACACAGTGCGCAGTGCTCCGAATCCCGACCCTCACACGGCTCCTTCGTCAAGGCCATCAGTGCCCAGTCGGTGCGCCGCCTCGCCTATCGAGATACTCTGGGGACGCAGGGGTATACATTTATACGTCCCTACTCTGCCTACGTAGGTAGTATGTTCATAACTCGAGGCACGGCCCGACACGGCGAAGCGAGCGAGCTGAGCCCAGCGAGGTGAGTGACTGAGCGGACGTTACAGGCGACTGAGGCGATTGAAGTGGCGCCCATGAAAAGGGATGGAGGTCGAGATCTTCGTAGCATTGAGATTTTAGGCCATATCCTGCATTTGTGGATGATGATGGATCAAACAACAACGATATATGGGCACAATCAACCATCGGCCGCATCTGGTCATCAATGCCCTTATAATTGTGGTTGTGACGGTCTCTCTGAACGACAGTGTGCTGGGTTTCAAGGTGATAGTACTGTACAACGCCGGCGCTATGCCTGCGACGGCTGGGCGCCACCTTCCACTAATTCCACCCATCGAGTAAAATCCAGCTTCATCCCGTCTGTCCTCCCCTTCGGAACCTCAACCCTCAGTCTTCTTTTCATGTAGCTCATTCCACATCCAGACCTCTCCAAGGCCTAGCTCGCACTTAGTCAACGTCCTCGATCCGTTGCACAATCATGGCGGTCGCTGCACCGCCACCGTTGCAAATCGCCGCGCATCCGTACTCGCCCGGCTTCAGTTGATGTAGCAATGTCGTCAAGATACGCGAGCCCGAGCTGCCAAGGGCGTGGCCGAGAGAGATGGCACCACCCAGCATATTCACCTTAGCGTCCTCTAGACCGAGAATCTGTGAACAAGTCAGCCAAAAAGGCTTTCCTATATGATTTCATTACTGTGCAACTCACCTGTTCATTTGCCTTAATGACTGCCGCAAACGCCTCATTAAATTCCCAAATCGCAATGTCGTCTTTGGTCAACCCGGCCCTTTCTAGCGCAATAGGCACAGCTTTCGCGGGCGCGATAGGGAAATCCACCGGATCAATCGCTGCATCAGCGGAACTGATGATCCGTGCAAGCACACGGCTTCCCTTGCCATATTCCCGCGCAATGGCCTTGTTGCCCAACACCAAGGCACTTGCACCATCATTGAACGTCGACGAATTTGCAGCCGTCACCGTTCCTTGTGAAGGATCCTTCACAAACGCCGGCTTTAAAGTCGGCACCTTATCCTTTTTTAGGTTGTTATACCCTTCGTCTTCGGAGATGATAATGTCACCCTTCTTCCCCTTAACAGTGACGGGCACAACCTCGTCTTGGAATTTGCCCTCCGCCCAAGCCTTTTGCGATCTTTCAAAGCTTCTGATGGCATATTCATCCTGCATTTCTCTGGAGATGTTGAACTTCTTCGCCGTGTTTTCTGCGCAGTTACCCATATGAAACTGGTTATACACATCCCAGAGCCCGTCTTCAATCAATCCATCCTTCAGTTGCATGTTTCCGAACGCTGGGTTCTGAGCTGCTCTGGGCAGGTAGTAGGGCACACGAGACATACTCTCCATACCACCTGCAATTTGCGCCTCGGCCAGTCCAAGCTGGATATTCTGCGCCGCGAGGACAACTGCTTTCAATCCCGAAGCACAGACCTTGTTGATCGTTACGGCTTCAACGGTTGAAGGTAAGCCAGCGAATATGGCGGCTTGTCTGGCCGGTGCTTGACCCAACCCCGCCGCCAGGACATTGCCCATATATACATCTGTTATCTTGGATATAGGGACTTTTGACTTCTCAATAGCAGACTTGATCGCAATGGCGCCCAGCTGTGGAGCGGACACGCTCATGAAGCTGCCGTTGAACTTGGCTGTCGGAGTGCGGGAGGCAGAGAGAATGTATGCTTCGCCGATCTCTTTGTTGCGAGTCATAGGGGAGGTAGCATTAGTGCTCATCTGGCTACGCATCTGGAAGAGGCGGGCGCTGGCGCTGGCGGTGGAGGAGGCGCGAGACGCCATGCGAGCGGCGGAAGAGGTAAGGAAGGGCATCTCGACGGTGTTGGAGCGTTGAGGATCCAGGTTGGGAACAGGCTCGAACAGGGGCACCGGGGTATATACTAGGCAGTCAACTGCACATGTTAGGTCAAGCTTTGGTCTTGCTCGAGCGGGGAATGAGGAGCAACGGTTGCGGGAGACGTGTTCGATACAACGAGTATTAAAAGAAATCGCTCGAGCTTGAGGTAGAGACGCCCTACTAATCAGTCAAGATCACAGGGGGAGGCAGAGCTCCATTCATAAAGTATTGGGAGGCAAACTAGTCCTTCGATCTCTCATAGTCCACGAGGCGCGGAATCTGATCTTTCGGATCCGTGATTTTTCGTAAAGGGCGGAAGCACAACCTCGGCTGCGACATGGAGGAATTTCGGAAGAAGTTGGAGGTCCCTGCCGGCCCTCTTGGCAGTCACGTGGTGCCATCGGCGCTACGAGGGCCGGAACCCCATGGCTCGATGACTAATAAGAATACGACGGAGTATAGCCACCCTCGTGACTTCTCTTCTGGCTAGGGTGGAGTGTTCATCGTCACTTCTGGAAGGCTGACTCGGGGAATCGAATGGAGGGCAACCACTCTTCGTATTGGTATTGGCGTGCCACTCCGTCTTCGCTGCTCTTCCATCTCTCAACCTCGCGTGCGTCTTTCCTGATCTCCTTCCCTCTTACACCCCTTGAACTACAAACAAGCCAATACCTAGAATAGCTTCTCAACCGACTCTCCCATCGCCTACGCTATCTTAAAACCCAGAGAATTCACCATGTCCACCTCCGCACGACGCCGCCTGATGCGGGACTTCAAGGTACGCAGTTTCCATCCTTAGGATATGGCTTTGATCCTGCCACTTAGTGTCCTATGAGTACTAACCGGGTCCTCTTATAGCGTATGCAAACAGATCCTCCTGCTGGTGTCTCTGCCTCTCCTATCGCCGACAATGTCATGACCTGGTAAATCCTTACCCCTCACCGTCCCTGTCATCTCCGGAACAACTCTCATAGGAATCTAGGAATGCCGTAATTATTGGTCCTGCAGATACTCCGTTCGAAGACGGCACATTCAGACTTGTCATGCAATTCGAAGAAGCCTACCCGAATAAGCCTCCTGGGGTCAAATTCGTTTCACAAATGTTCCACCCAAATGTGTACGGCACTGGCGAGTTGTGCTTGGATATCCTTCAGAACCGGTGGTCTCCAACCTACGATGTCGCCGCAATCTTGACGTCTATTCAGAGTCTATTAAATGACCCAAACACGAGCTCTCCGGCAAATGTCGAAGCCAGCAATCTCTACAAGGATAACCGGAAGGAGTACACCAAGAGAGTGAGAGAGACTGTGGAGAAGAGCTGGGAGGATTGAAGCAGTGAGAGTCATCATAAAGAACTGCGAATGGCCTAGTCTTTCAGCGACTGCATCAACAAGCGGATGGGCGGCGTTGGGTGTAGCATCGGATATTTTCTATCAGTCAAAGTGGGATTTTTTTTTTCCCCAATAAGGGTGTGCTTGGATACGGAACATCGCATTGTCTTGCCAACACTTGAATGCCTCGAGATTAGCGAAGGAGTTTCTGCGACAAGTTTTCCCCTCAAGGGCTCAGGCTTGACGGCCATGCCAGAGCAGCCTTTCTGCTCTCCATTCTCCAGGCCTTCGCCGAGATTGAGCTTCATGCGCGTCACAGTGCGTCCAGCTTGGTCAGGTAGCTCCATGGTACCAATTTCAATCGTTGTATTCCAATGGTATCGCACCATCGATAGTCTACAATCCTATGCCTGGTAATATTAAACCAGAGACATGACCGCATGAACAGGTGAACCCGCTTAATCTATTCGCTCGTAATCGTATCACATCTATCATCGGGAGGCCGTGGTTAATATATCTCCTCTCTGTCCTGATGTTCCATCTGTTTGGTCTTCATGCTAGCGCCCCCATAGGATCCCACAGCGGCAGAACGACCGGCTCGCCCTTCAACACATCGCGGACCTCCTTTGCCACAAATCCCGGGTCCACCACGACCTGGTAGACAAACTCATCCATCCATTTATCTGTCATGACGAAGTAACCTTTCTCACCGGCGCTCTCGCCCCAGGAATTCATCACTCGCCACCGCACGCTCTTCTCGCGGCCCTTACCGTCGTCTTCCATTTGGACGCCCGTCAAGACCATGGCGTGCGTCATTGCGGACTCTCTTACTTTCAGGCGCTGAGACTTGGACAGATTGAGCGAGATGTTGAATGCGAGGCCGTAGTCGTACAGTTCCGGATCCATGATGCCGCTCTGCGAGTTGGAGAATTTGCCCACGTCGCTGCCGAAGAAGACAGGGAGGCCGGCGCGAAGCATCGCGATCGCCGCTCTCTTCATCGTTGCCATGTCCACGTTGACGTAGGTGATTGGTCGTCCGCCGACGACGTTACCTAGACGTGAGACGGTGAGAAGGCCCATGTACTTGTTCCGGGGATCGTTCACGAGGCTGAACATGCGGGAAACGTCAGCACCGCCCGAACTTCTCACTGCACTCGGCGTGGAGAGGGATTTGGCCAGTTCGAGCGGCGTCATTGTTATTCTGTGGTACTTTTCGTCCTTGTCGTAGAATTCCCATGTGAACTTCTCGTCTGGTTTGGGAGGAGGACCCAGCATGAGCGTGAGGATGCAGTGAATTTCACGCATCATTTTCGCTTTTGCAAGAGCCAACGAGGATGACCTTTTGGTAGGGGACGAGACTCCGTTACGGACCAGAGCGCGCAGAGCAAGACCGTCTTCTCGCAATTTTGTTGTCAGGATCGAACCCATGGCCGAGGAGTTCATGGCGTTGTAGCTGTCCGGGTACAACTTTTGTGGAACCTGCATGTCACCACAAACATCAGTATTGAAAGCTCTAGTACGATCATTCGGACAAGCATTGCCTTACCAATCCGTATTTCTCGACCAGGTTACTCGCCATGTCCCACTGTCCACCATCATTGACCGGTGCCGACAACAACTCCTGCACCTCTCTGTCTCCCAAGTCCTTTTCCGCCGTGTCAATCATTTGCTCTAGAAACCAATTCGCCTTCTCCATCTTATCCCAGAAGAACAAATAAGACTGACTCAACTCGAACTCTTTTAGATTATATTTCTTCATAATCGGCACACGCAGCACGTTTGTCGTTGCGAATAGCCAACATCGTCCTGAGGAGCGTTGGTTTGTCACAGGTGACCCCTCAAACGGGATCTTGACGTTGAATGTTTGTGTGTCAGGAAGAGTTGCGACTTTATTGCTGATGACAGAGCGGATATCGTTTGAGAGGAGGGCATTCAACGCGAGGCGGTTCTTCGGGGAGGAGAGAAGTTCTCTTTCCCATTCTGAAGCGGCTTTTATGTCCAGAGAGGGGTCGGTTGAGTAGGAATGCGGGATGCCCTTCTCGGCTTCGACTTGAACATACTCGTGCTCGGTTTCGATTTGGTAGAGCTTGTCGCGTGTGCGGAGTGACTGGAGTTGTTGGATGAGGATCTTCTCGACCGCGGGCTCATTGACGTTGGACGAGCTCTGCGAGTTGCCCATTTTGACGGCGATTGATGGGAGAAAGCGGCGTCGAGGAGTACGAGAGGCTGCACTTGTCTATGAAGGAGGGAGTCGAGATGAGACGAAAGGGAGAGCTCTGACGGCGGGGAGATTGGAAGATCAATGGAGCCTCGCAGATAAGCGATAATGGGCGCAATGACCCAGTAGAAGTCACGGGTCGCCTGCCGATTCACTAACCGGCGAGGCCGGGTTGACCGGGTAAGTCGCCCGCACCACGACCCTAAGAGATTTCTACCAGGTGCTCGTTACAGTCTAACTATTAATAAGTTGCGGGGAAGCCTCCCGCCGAATTTGGCGGTTGCAGCCGCTGCTTTTGAAGGTGGATTTCCATTGATGCCAAGAACTCTAAACCTGGCCTTCCCTATCCCAGACTAACTTCCATAGACACAGCCTTCAGTGGGCTCCAGCCTCCTTTCCTATGTACACATACATTTCGCTCTTCAATCAATATAGTTAAAATGATGCACCTCTCTTCATCAGTTATCGATCTTCTCCCTTGATCTGTGTTCCTTGTAGTAGCATCGATGACCCCCATCCTGCCTCTTGCCGCAGCCACGGTTGAAAGCACTTATACTGGGTAGAGGCATCGGCTTTACGCAGTAAAATTTTACGCGCCTGGTTCCAAGCCAAGTTGCCTTCATTCATCCTGCAGCAGTACTTTGTGACCCTCACAAGAAGGAGCCACAGAGCCTTGGTGTACAGCTAACTACTAACTATTACATCTAGGGACATTGCTCTCTAGCTAAATTCAACAACCAATCTGCGCGACACGGGGATGAGGTTCTTGGCGAATTATTGGGCTTTATATCCGTGCTGAAGTAGCAATGCTCGTTCGTCAAGCATGAATCCCTAAAATATGTTGCTTACCACACCTGGCTCTTGCATTTCAAATTGCCAACTCATGAATTTGTTCTCTTGTAGTAGCTTTTGCGAGTTTGTTTCTAGCACCACTCTGAAATACGTGGTTGGCAATATCTTTTGATGTTAAGTCTGCTGTGGAACGTGCTACTAACGTGGAGAAATGAAGCCTTCTTCCCGGCTGTGCATTGCTTGACTGCAGGAGATGATAGAATTTTTGACTCCCAATTCAGGCTCTGATTTCGGGCACGCCGCCTCTTTGGGAGAATTAGTGTCCCACGAATACGCTGCAGCGATGGGCCGAACGGCATTCGTAGGACCCGCTTCTTCGGTAGTGTTTCGGCGACATGCATCCCTTGCGGCACGGCCTTGGGTGCAACTTGGGACAAGGACCTGACTCACTGGGCCATCGAGCTGTTGGGTCACGAGTGCAACACTATTGGCATGCACTGTTGGCTAGGACCCACCATCAACATCCAGTCGTCGCTGGTGTAGGAAGGGGGGAGAGGGGGGAGGATTCGAGTCATATTCCGAGGATCCTCACCTCTCTGGTACGCTGGCAGCGAGCATTATCCGGGGATATGAGAGCAAGAGAGGACGAGCAACACCGAAACATTTCGTGGCCACGACCAATAGCGCAAACGGAGGGCCGTCAACATCATCGCCGAGCGAGCCCTGCGCGAAGTCTCCATGTGGCCTTTCCAGACCGTGGCGCGTGACGCTCAACCTGGCGTCCTAATCACCACGTACAACGAGATGAACGGTATCCACGTTGTTCAGGACCCGCGTATCATTACCAGCAATGTGCGGGAGGAGTGGGGTTAGAATCCCCTAGCGATGAGCGACGGGCATGGAACTTTCTCTACGACTGAAGCCGTCAATTCAGGGATGGACGTCAAGATGCCCGGTCTTCCCAAGATGCGAGACCGGTCGGGCGACTTTGTGCAGAGCTCACGCCTGATCAAAGAGTCTGTGTTGGATCGAGGGGCCGGCGGGTCCTGCAGTTTGTGATACGTGCCTCAAAATTAAAAGTCGCAAAGGCAGAAGCCACGTGCAATTTCCCTGAAGATCGGGCATTGAACAGGGAGGCATCCGGCAAGAGCGAATGAAGGCGATCTCCCTCCCCTTTCGACCCGGTTAGAGAAGGCGACGTTGGTGAATTCACATATGAAACTCCCTGTTGTCTTTGGCGGTGGGAGCGCCGTGGTTCAACCATACCACACCGTTGCGCCCTGGGAGGCGCTAAGTGAGCGTTGTGCGGCCTGCTTGTGTCGAGACGACTTAGGAGGTCAGCATGCCTGTTTACGAGACGCTTCCTCTTCTCAGCAAGCTTATCTGCCGGCCGGACAGATCGCATATAGTAGGTATCATGTACTTCTGCACTTCTCCTGTTGGTACTCCCAGGCGGATGTGTGTGGGACAAGAACACTTTCAGGCGTCATATTGTCAGCCCATGGACTGCAAAGACCCAAAATCGAACTCTGATCTCTTCTACATTACGGCAAAGGTCATCTTCACGCTGGACGAGTTAGGGATGAAGGATTTTGGATTGTCGGTCTATGGCATAGCGAACCTCTACCTAGACGGAGAGTTCATCACTGAGGAGACAACCCGCAAGCAGGAGGCCGGCAGCATATCCTTTCGCAAAGTACCTCGAGCGAAAAGGCTCTAAGTCACTAGAGTATGGAAAGGAGTACGAGCTGACTATCGAATTCGCGAGTTCTGCGACCTCAACGAGTTCCCAGATCGGCGTCACCACTTTTGGTGGAGGAGGGTTTCGCCTCGGTGCCACCTGACGAATTGATCCCGCTGTCTCCGTTCAGCGTGCATGCGATCTTGCTGCTGAAGCAGACTACTCTATTCTCTGCACAGGGCTTAATGAGGAATGGGAATGCGAGGGCTTCGATAAGTTGGACTTCTCATTGCCGCCCGGAGTGGACGAGCTGATTTCGGGCGTCCTAGCCGCGCAGCCAAATACTATTATCGTGACGCAATCGGGCACACTGCTTAAGATGTTATGGGAATCTGAGGCTAGATCGATCGTGCACGCCTGGTGCGGAGGCAGCGAGGAAGGAAATGGTGTTGCCGATGTGCGCTTTGGCAAGGGCAATTCTAGTGCCTAGCTGTGTCTCATCTGGCTCGAGGAGATCAGAGACAATCCTGCCTATTTGAACTGGGGTAGCATTCGGGGTCGCGAGCTCTATGGCGAGGATGTGTTTGCGGGCTACAAGTTCTACGACGACCTTGACCGGTCTCCGTTGTTCTCGTTCGGGTGAGTCTTCTCTCTCATCGGCCATGCTTCAATATTTTGTCAAGATACGGCATCTCTTACATCACGCTCGCTCTCACTCCCATCGCGGCATCGAGGGAAAGCCTCTATATCGGCGTCATAAACACGGGCAAATCTGCCGGCACCGAGGCCATCCAGGTCTGCATTCACGCTATGTCGAGCGTTGTACTTCCAGCCCAAAGGGAGCTTCACGGGTTCGTGAAAGTCGAGTTGATGTCCGGGGGATGCTAAGATCTTTTAACGTTCCTATTAGTACGCTGGGAATTTGTGGGACGAGGCGGAGGAGTGGATGTGCGGGAAGGTAGAGTACGAAGTGCTGGTTGGAAACAGTAGTCGCGTGGCGGAGTTGATCTGTGCGGGAAGTTTCCACGTTGAGGAGACAAGGTGGTGGTTGGGATTCCAGGCAGGTACTACGGTGTTATGATCAATATTAGCATTTGATAGCTAAGAAAACCAAAAAACATCTTTAAGAGCTTCGCTCGAATCCTTATAATTCATTCTCGTATCCAAGAAGCGCTCCGTCGGTCACAGGAATCGGAGCAGGTCGAAAGACAAGGCTTAGGACTTTGCATTCCTGTTCCGAGCAAGTCCTAAGTTGGCAAGTGGTACTTTGGAGCAGCTGCAGGTCCCAAATTGCCCATGGTCAGTCCTCAATTTGATGACTTCAACTCCTAAGCCTAGTTACATCCCACTAACTATGTACTCATAGCAGTCTTGGTAGTCTTTTCATACAAAGCCAGCTGCATGTGCGACCCCCTGGAGCTACGGGCGGATTGACTATAATATCTGTATCGTCTTGTGTGCATCAGAAGACGTACGAGTCGTGAATTCTCAGTTTGGACATAGGTGATGCTATTGCGGCGGTTGGCCGCAGATTAAACAGGGATAAAAATGTTCAACTTATGAATCAATCTGCGCCCATTCTTGCCCGCCGGGGGCAAAATGAGTGGATGCATGAGGATGACATTGCCATGCTTCCCTCACCATCATCCAGATAAAGCTCTCATCAGGTGTTTGCAGGGTTTTCCCCGCGAGATTTGTCCGGGGAGTTTCCCATGGTTCCGAGCTGGCATTCCGAGACGACCTACGTGGAGACACTCCTTCGGGATGGTGGTACTAGATAAGTAAAAGAGCGCGTGAGTAACACGGCTCACATCAATAGCATAAGTGCTCGAAAATTCGAAACCAAAGTCTGCAAGGGAGAAAGACAAGCTCAGAAGCCATTTCCCAATACGTTTAGGCCCCTCGCTGCAAATCCACGTTTCCCCCCAATCTCTTCAACGTTAGTCTAGCACCGAAGGGCCTGCAGCGCCTGCACGGGCGAACCAGGAAATGCACAGAAAGGTCCCCGTTGACGTGCCACTCCTGCAGCTCCTTGGGCGACACAACATGTCCTTCCGTCTTAGCGCTGCCCAGGTTCACAATGAAACCATGGCTCCCTACCTTGCCGCCGACCGCGAGCCGGTCTTCGCCGCTGATTAGTTCGCAGATAGCATTGTAGACTGTGGGAGAGATCTACAACGCATCCGCGGCATCATGGGGTGTTTGGGTATGTTGATGCGTTCTTTGGTCCAGGTCGTTTTGTCGCTGGGGACCATGCCTAGGCGGGTGCAGACGTGCTTGGTGTAGAGTTCGCAGGTTTCTTTTGGAGTGGCGCTGGGGAGGCAGAGGAAGCCATGGGTCATGAATAACGAAATTTGGGATGGGCAGAGGGTGGTCAAGGTCTTGTGTTGCAGGATTTCTTGGACTGTGGCCATGTTGGATACTAAGTGGACGTTGAGTTGACTTCAAATGATGATGTAGACGGATGGATGGGACGATATTGAGACAGTTGTTTTAGTCTTTAGCCTTGAGATGTATCTCTTCTTATTCAACATTACCGTACCATATATTGTAACGAAGTACTTCTGAGTTTGGCATGCACGCGCAACAACGCACAGGGGCCTGTCGGGCACGTCGGAAAACGAGAACGCGTTTCTGGTCGGCGGAGGCAAGGCAACACCACCATTCATGCCAACGCCAGAGAAGCACCCGCTGGAGCAACGAGCGCCTAGCACGGCAACTGCGTAAGGAGTGGAAAAAGACAAAAGAGACGCTCAGGAATAGGTTTTGGCATCAATAACCATGCAGTACTCGGCTCAAACTGTAAAGAATGCGACCTGGCCATCAGTATGAAGCGTCAAGCACGCCGGCAACAATTATCTACTAGCACAGCTATTCTCTAACTGTGTGTTACGCATTCCTATCGCTGTTGTTGGTTGTTGTTATTATTGTGGTTGTTATTGTTGCTCCTTTCTACCTGAAAACGTCTTATCCTTAGCTAGGATACTAGCCCTTGTCGTCCTAATACGTGACCAACCAAATTGCCTTTCTGCTACTTTCCCATACCAGCACAGTATAGCCACTTTGCCTTAGTACAATATAAATATGGTATGGCTACACTCGGGAGCTTTATTCATTCACAGCTTATAAAATCCCTCGCCTACAGCTATCCCACAGTCTGTCTAACATTGTACGACTTTCTTCAGATATCTCGTGACTGAGAGACGGGAAAGCGCTCTCCTTGATGTTCGTAGATATGCAGAGCATTGCCCTCTGGGGGTTCGATAAGAGTGAGAGTAGTCGAATTTCTATGGGATTCCCCACGAAAACCCTCTTAGGGATAGACCTTGAGGAGAGGATGATTAAAGTTCTACGCTATCCTTCTCTAAATATTTTTCCGATCCTAAATAACGCCGCTCTATTTCCCTCTCTTGGTTGAAAGATAAGCCCCCGAGACTCTCCACAAAGAGCCGGTCCCCCTTTCCGTTACAGAAGTTCAAACGAAATCTCACAAACCCATCGCCTACCCAACAACCGTGCATTAGTTTTAGGCCATGCATGCTACAAAATATCTCAGCTCCTGTGACCAATGCCGGTCACGGAAAGTGCGATGCCTGAGTAAGTACTCCGTACATAAAGATGCGATACTGGGCATGAAAGCCCTCTAATTCCAATGTCAGAACACAATGAGCTGGACCAGTCTTGTATACAGTGCAATGTACGACATCAGTAAAACAATAGACGACCAGTCAACCGGATGATCCCTGACCATTAATAGAAACGGGGCCAGCAGTGTCGCTTCTCCCCAGTCAGGACTCGACAGATGAGAACGACGAGGACATCAAGCAACCAAGAATTTCGAGGTAGGCATTACTTACTTCGAGTTATTGAATCAGAGCATAACTAAGAGTTAACACCCTTGTCTAGACTTCAACGACCTCTCTCCGAGCGTTCAAAACGTGACTACCGAGTCTCTCACTTCCGTCCCCGATAGGCAACACCCGCGTCCCTCCAGCCCTGGCTTGACCGTCAATGTATCGGATGGCGAGCACTCTGTACCACCTCCGCACGTACAGTTATCGGAGGCCACTCCTCCAGCTGCACCTTCTATTCGCCCGTTGAGAGATCCCGAACTATATGTCGACAGGTTCATCCTTAAAGGAGAATCCTGTGGACTTCGCCAAAACGAGCAATCCATATATGTGGTAAGGACTTCAAGAACCACAAAAACTCCCCTTATAACTTTTGTAAATCCATGTTCTGACTTGCTAATTTCTGCTTATCTATCAAGGGTACCAATGAACATGGTCAGTTCAAAAAGAAACGATCCAGATCATCACCCCCAAGGTTTCTGTGACTAAGAACATATCTACTATCTAAAACAGTTGCCAGTTCAAGCATTGCCTTTTTCTCTGAACACGCTATCAGTGCTTTGTGCGAGAAACTCCGGCATGAGAAGCTAAAGCACTTGATCAATACGCTCGAAGCGGATGGGCAAAGACGCCTTCAGGCTGCAATTCAATCAGACGCACCGCCTCATGAACTCGAAGAACCGTCTCTTGAACTACAGATGCAATACGTTAGATGTAGGACTTGATATCTTTTTCTTGGGGGTTTTTAGATATTCTATACTATTCTGACTTGGCTAACATTCTTCAAGCCTACTTTGAACAGATAAGTCCCATTTACCCATTCTTGGATCAGGACCACTTTGAACGGAAGGCTTTCTCGCTTCAGGACAACTCCCTGGATCCTCCCTACAAGCCCTGGCTAGCACTCTACTATGCTATCTTGAGTCTGGGATGCCTCTATCATGAGGGTGGCTCGTTCAATTCCGGAAAGGGATTGGCGTGGCGATATTTTCGAATATCATTTAGTTATTTTGCCGATGTTTTGATTTCCAAACCTTCCTTGTTGAAGGCTCAGGTGACTATATTTTGAGATCTTGTGAACTCGGTCGAGATTGCTGACGAAGAACTATAGGCATTGACCGCAATGGTATGTCTTTTGCATATGATGGAATGAGTCCAGGCTCAATCTTTCAGGCAATCTTTGCCCTCAACTACTCGAGTCTGCAGCTGGAGACTTTGTGCGTCACAGAAGCTGCAAGGACAGTCATCACATTAGGTCTTCACAAGAAAACTCTCGATCTGGAATCCGACATTGAGGGTCGAAGGACCTTCTGGGTCGTGTACTGCATAGAAAAAGAATACGCCTTCAATTCTACCTTGGCGTCGGTATGTTTCTCTCACCCTCCAACTTTATCTGAAATCTTGACAAATACTGTCTATGTTACAGTTTATATCAGACGGCGACATCGGCTGTCCCTTGCCCAGTGCTCCAAATTCCTTGCTGGAAGGATTCGATTGGCTACACTGCTGGGCGCGGTTCTCGCGCATCCTCTCTCGGACCTACGACACACTGTTTTCCATCACCGCGACATTGAATACGGAAGACAACTATCTCTCATACCTTGCTTGTATAAATCATGACTTGAATGCGTGGAGACAGTCAGTCCCAGAAGCATTCCGTCCAGAAGTGCCAATCCGCCAACATCGGATGCGGCACCCTGTTATGAAAGAGCTAGCTCTACGGAGTCATCTGGCTTATTACAACTTGAGAATCTGCCTTTCACGTCTAACGATCCATGTTACACACGACAAAGACTCGCAACGTCGGTCCGAAGCAAAGCGGGATCTCATGTTGGCGGCTCGTTCCATTGTTGAGCTAATGCAGTTCTGCGCCCTGGAGCCATACTCTCCAGTTTGGTACTGTTTATCTCTCGGAGAATTCCCGCTCATCATGCTAACAATTGAATCCTACCTTAGGAATATCGGCTGTATGCCACTTGTTGCCATGTTCATTCTGTTCGACTTTGTGGTCCAGAACCCCTCTCATCACGAAACCCGGAAGAACATATCGTACCTCGACATCGTGGCGGCGCATTTCGCCAGACTCGATCTGGCTTCCCAAGGAGCTATTCGAGGGTTGACCGTGGCCCAATTTGCCGCAATTGCGAAGCAATTTGTTAATGAGTGCGTTGGGAATCGCGAGGAGGAAATCTACCCTCCCGCGGTCGGGTTGTCGACCAGAATTCTCTCCCGATCGAGCCCCAGAGGGCAGGAGATTGCAGGCGCTGATGTGAGTGAAAACGCGAATGAGCAGGTATGTCGACCCCTCTTCCTCCCAAGGCTGTATTCGGGGGTACCCTCCACTGTATTGTCTTGATATTTTCAGCCTCCGATATTCAGTTGTCACGCGGTGAACTGATTGATATGTCACACGTCATAGAATTTCCCTTTCGACGAAAATTTCTCTGGATCTATGGTGGATGATGCACTTGAATTTCCTGAAGAGAGCAATTCATTGTATATGAACTTACAGCATCCCGGATTCGACATGGCCGACATTTTTGGTCAAACGTTTTTATGAGTCCGTTATGACTGGATCTGACCTGTTAGCGGTCCTTCGATCATGGAGATCAAATCGCCATTGATAATATTACAAAGGAAGAGAATACTCTATACTGATAATCCCTCCCGACGTCTCAACCCCGAAATTATTGAACTTTACCTCCAACGCCTCGTCCGACTCCTTCAAATAGGCCGCGAGACATAGAATCCCACCCATATATCTGGCTCATCGACTCCGACGTCGTCGAAACACCAAGACACCGTCCGCATGAGGGATTTCCGAATCACTTCCACCTCCTCTTCGACCAAGAAACAAACCAACAACGGTCCATGTTTCACGATTTCAAACGTCGCCCCGTGAGTATTCCAAAATGTCTTTGAAAGCGGCCAGAGACTCCATTCCGCTCGACCTCCGTTTTCGAAAGAAGAGACAGCGCAGGTAAGCTTGCCACGGACAACCTCCAGTCCAATCTTCACAAACGAAGGCGTGGTCAAGTGATCCCCTGCGTTTGACGCCGTTGGCTCTGGTAGATCCCGGTGCGGCCGAACCAGGAGTAGTCCTGCTTGATCCCATTCTACGGTGTGTGTGGCGGATGGCCAGGAGATAGTGACTCGTGCACGGCGGAAACGAACCGACGGAAGAGAGACTTTAGAGACCGCAGATTCGAACCGGAAGGCAGGAACAGAGCCGTCGGAGATGAGCGGCTTGCCGACAATGTCTCGACTGCTAGTGCAGGAGAGGGAGAAGAGATCGGGACTGGAATAATTGATGGGGACGAGTCGGAGGGTGTAGGAGCTCATTTTGAGTTGTTGCACACTACTATTCCCTCGAGATGTTTTTGAAAACGTTTCTCATATATCTATATACATATGTCTATACGTGGATGAAGCGCTTCTCCATTTGGCGCAAAAAATCCCGTTAGATGTCGATACGTGAAGGCGATTGAGTATCGACCCGGTGTCGGATTCGATCAGTCTCGGAAACTCCGAGCAAATCAAATTCCCTTGATCAAATAAGATCATTGAACCTTCGCGGGAATTCGCGATAAATGGAAAAGACCTGCTCGATCAATCACAACGTCGGATACATCAAGGACAATAGAAGATCGATTACAACCATACTGCCCAACGGAAGAAGCGATAGTCCGCCAACCAGAGATGTTACGACCGGCCAAGGTCTCTTGGGCCGAATTGGGTAAACATGCCAATGACAACGATGCATGGATTGCTCTCAATGGCGTTGTGTGGGATTTCTCCGGCTTTGGATCCAAACATCCTGGCGGAGAAGAGATCATCAAGAGCCATCTCGGAAAGGATGGGAGCAAGGTCTACAACGAGATTCACAGCCCCGGATTGGTGCTGCGACATTTGGGAGAGGAGAAAAGAATAGGAGAGATCGAGGATGCCGACGTTCAGGGGGAAACTGTTATCGCTTCTTCGCCGCACGATAGGCAGTTTGTTGACCTGCCAAAGCTCCATTCTATCACGAGTCTATTGCAATTCGAACACGCGGCAGAGAGAGCCTTGACCGACAAGGCTTGGAATTACATCTCAGGTGCGACGGAAGACGGAATCACGGACCAGACCAACAGAGAATGTTACCGGCATATCATGTTTCGTCCACGGGTGTTGAAAGGAGTCGGACGAGTGGACATCAGCACTTCATTCCTCGGTCATAGACTCGCCTGTCCGATCTTGAACGCTCCCACCTCGTCAGTCAGGCTGACCCATCCCAGCGGCGAGATGGCTATCGCCAAAGCCTCTCAAACATGTGGTGTTCCACCCATCATTCCATCGATGAGCTCCTTCTCGGTATCGGAAGTTGTCGACGCCCTGAAACCCGGCCACCCGTTCTTCTTCCAACTCTATGTTCACCGTGACCGAGCAGAGACGGAGCAAATATTGGATGAAGTCTGCAGACTCGCCGCCCGAGCAATCATCGTGACAGTGGATCTACCAGTCATCAGCAAGAGAGAGACAGTCCAACGACGCCGATCTGTAGTCGACAGTGAGAGCGTCAGTCGAGATCAAGACATGGCAGAGAGTCGACAGCGGCGGTCGGCCCCTCCGCCGGTCAACACGGTCATTGATCCCGACCTCAACTGGAACGACGTCGAGTGGATCATGAAACGCACTGGTCTCCCTGTCCTCGTCAAGGGAATTCAACGACCAGAAGATGCCAAACGGGCCTTGGAGACTGGATGTGCGGGAATCTACATTTCCAACCACGGAGGTAGAGCTTTGGACACAGCGCCGCCTGCTATATTGGTGCTGTTGGAGATCCAAAGGACTTGTCCTGAAGTCTTGAGACGGATGGAAGTCGTGGTCGATGGCGGCATACGACGAGGGTCAGATGTCTTGAAGGCAATTTGTCTCGGGGCAAGTGTGGTTTGTATTGGTCGTCCTTTTCTATATGCTCTTTCGTACGGGGAGGAGGGGATGGTTCATGCATGGCAAAGTAAGTTTCTATATCGCTAGTGACATTGAGAATCAAGACCGAAACTGACAATTGATCTCGTGGACAGTATTGAAAGAAGAACTGGGGATTGCGATGCAGTTACTGGGGATTACCAGCCTCGATCAGGCACATTCCGGGTTCGTCAATACTAAGGCGTTGGATGCCTTCATATCGACTCCAAAGCCTTTTGGTGGCAGACCAACCTCAAAATTATAACTAAGGAAGGCCAGGAAAGGGTATCAGTAGAACGAATATTGCCATTCTTCTTTTACATGTGTCTCCCGTTCCCCTGCTTGGTGTACGGATACCCAGTCGGTCATCCCGCGACCTCCTCGTCGATGGCCCGAACCGCCAAGTAGATAGCGTAGCCATGACCATACGCATGGATCCAAACACTATTCTTATCTACTGTACTTGTCACCAAGCGAGTCGACTAGTCAGTAAGTCTCGTCTCTCTACCTCCACATGACCAGCATTCGCGGCCAATCATACCAAGCGAATGCTCGGATTTTCCGAAAGTGGCTGGCCGAACTTTGTTACGAACGCTAGTTGCAAGTCCCCAGCGCCGACTTTGGAGATTCCAGGATTCTAAACCGGGCCTGGAACCAACAAAAACGGACTCAACAATTGTAGAAGTACATGAAGAAGAAGAGAAGCGCGAGATTTCTATATTTCTCTATCTCTCAGATCACCACTTTGGTCTACTCTGCCTTGCGTTCATCCTTGTCTTTTCTCGCTTTTTGAGACTTGATCAACCCCCTGCTTGCTAGCGGCAAGAGATGAAAACACGAACACAAACATGGGCACTACTACTACTGAAGCCTTACCTCCAGGCACTCAGCGAATCGAGGATTTAGCTGGTGCACACATCGTTCTTGCTCCGCAGCCCAATGCGGATCCTAACCAGCCTTTGGTCAGTCCTGCTCTTCTGTTTATGGAGTTCTTCAACGGCAGTTTTGCGTCGTTTTCTAACGTCCCAGAGCAGAATTGGAGTCCCTGGCGGAAGAGCCTCCATATGGTTCTACTCTGCTTGTACGGACTAATGGTGTTTGCCATGTGAGTTGTCGAATGCTTCATTCCATACCCGCATGCGTTACCCCGGGATATCGTACAGAATATTGACACATAATCGGTTTGATTTCCAAGTCTATGTGCCAGTCAACCTCTCTGGCAAGTCTTCTATGGCGAGCTCGGGATCAGCTACGAGACCTTGAACAATGGATATGCGGCCAACACGGCAACATTGGCTGTTGGTTGCGTCTTCCTCGTTCCGATCGCCCTTCGTTATGGGCGACGACCCATGTATCTCCTCACTGCGCTCTTCTTGTTGGGAATTGCCATCTGGCAAGCTGCATTTCACACCGGGGAGGAATATCTCGCATATAGTACGCTGTGTGGGATTGCCGGGGCGCTCAACGAGGCCTTGTTCCAAGTCACGGTATGAAATCCTATATCGGATCACGATTCCCCTTTGGCCATTTTACGGCGTTCGTGCTAAAATCCAGGGAATTATTGCTAGATATCGGATCTCTTCTTTGTCCATCAGCGAGGGACCATGAATGGATGTTTCCTCATCTCGGTCAACGCCGGAGTATACCTCAGTCCTGTGGCCGCGGGCTACATCGCCGCATCTCACAACTGGCGCTGGATTTTTTGGATTTGTACCATCATCACGGGCGTTCTCATCGTCGCCATGGTCCTCTTCTTTGAAGAAACGAAATATACCCCCCCACCCATGCTGGGACATAATCCGGAAGAGACCAGCAATGAAACTGTCATCGCCAAGATAAGCAGTATCTCGAAAGACCCAATTAGCCTCGACAACAGCGAGGTACAGCAGACGAAAGGCGATGGCGAGGGTGTACGATACGACCACTCTCCAAATCAGCCCAAAAGACCCATCCCCATCGACACTTCGATCCCGATGAATTCTTACCTTACACGCCTTTCGCTCTGGACCAGCGACAAAATCCCCGGCACCCAGGACCGCAAATTGTGGAAACACGCCTACTACCCCTTTGCGATCCTTTTGCAATTCCCCGCCGTGGCCCTCGCGGCCATCGTCTACGGATTCGACATGGCCATACTCTCCATCGTCACCATCGTCCAGACAACCCTCTACCCCTACCCGCCCTATAACATGGGGACTATCGGAGTTGGGAATCTCAACATGGCGCCCATGGCCGGAGTTCTCCTAGGGTCCCTTTACGGCGGTCCCTTCGTGGACTGGGCGATTGTCCAGATCGCCAAGCGTCGGCAAGGCATCTACGAGCCCGAAACCAGATTGTGGATGTTCATCTTCCCTTCTTTAGTCCTAACGGCCGGAATTCTCATGTACGGCCTCACACTCGCTAAGGGAATGCCATGGCCCATCAACGCCGTTGGGGCGGGTTTTGTGGGCTTCGGTTTGGGCGGCGCCGGTGATATCGTCCTCACATATTGTCAGGATTGTTATCAATATGTAAGTCCGATTCTCCCTCTGACCTCCAGACTAGAGCCATATATACGCTTGTCTATTTATCTAGTATCGATCTAACAACTAATGTAATGTAATATGGTTCAGATCCTAGGCGACGCTCTGACCAGTGTCGTCTTCGTGCGGAATATCATCACCACCATCCTGGTTTTCTCGATCGCACCTTGGATGGAAGGGATGGGCGTCTACAACATGTTTGTGCTCCTCGGATGCCTAAGCGCGGTTATATCCTTCTCTTGCGTTCCGTTCTTGTTCTGGGGGAGGGCTTGGCGCGTCAAGTTGGCGGTTAAGTATAAGTATTATGCTTCGAAGCAGTATTAAAACAAGAAGGGAGAAAGGTCGAGCCCAGCACTAGCACTGGAAGGGTTGGAAGTGGAATGAATGTCCGGTAATAGGATGAATCGGAACGGAAGTTGTATAGTCTCTAGTATACCACTGTGCCACTTTGCCAATTGTTGTTCTGGGGTAGTACCTAGCAGTATCCATATATAACCAACCGTAATAGATACCGTCCGTTGGTCATCCTGCTCACCCTAGTTCCGAAAGAGTAGCAAATCACGCTCACAAAGTAAGAATACAGCCACAATCATCTATATAACTGCGCCCTGGTGGTCAATTTCAATCGCCGTCTTCGTCTCTCCCAGCAATGAAAAATGGTATCGTGAAAAAAAAGATAAAAATCAAAAAAATTCAGACGTCGATGACCTATCCTGTCCCCGAGCAGTTCTAAGTGTTTCCAAGCCCGACGCCGCAGTACTGTAGTCTACGTGTGTATATATAAGATGGGGAGCCTCGTTCAAGCTTCTCGTCTATTTTGAATTTGATATTGTGAGGTGTGGCATTCTCAATGCATAATTTCCCCCCAAAAAAGCATGGGAAAAGTACGAGCGATGCCATGAAAAATCCCACAACTATATATTATAGTCTCTGAATGGTTCTAACCTCATGCATGGTTCGAAACATACCTCCCCCCTGAAACGAATGCGGGGGCCTCGCGAGATTCCCAATCAAAACCAAACCAATGGACTAGTTCCTCTGCTTCCTGGTTGTTCCTTACAAGATACTCTTATTTCACCTCACCGCTTCACTCCTTATTTGGTCCCAATCCAATAAACTCTCCAATATCCTTTGTATCCCTGGTCCAAATCCCTGGCGACCCCTTCGGATACTGGCTCCGAAAGCCCAAAAACCTCTGCACCCTGAGTGGCATCTTCTTGACCATTTCCAAATCGACCGTTAACGCGAAAGCTTCTTCCTGGGTGAAACAGTTCGCTACGGCCACTAGAGAAACGACGCGTCGATAAGAGTCCTTTGTGGAGTTACATCCGCCGCCGTGCACGATTCGGCCGCCGATGATCAACATATCGCCGGCTTTCAGGGGACAGATCTGGGTATCTTCCTCTTTGCCTAGGTTGTGGTCTTCGGCCGAGTAGCGCCATTTGTGACTTCCGGGGATGGCACGGGTGGCGCCATTTTCTTCCGTGGTGTCCGTTGTAGCGATAAGGAAGTTGAGCATCGTCTCTGGACATGATGGGGGCATGTCGTAGTTCGGCCACCAGTTTCCAAAGTCCCGGTGTAAGGGTTGTTTGGGGTTGGAGGGGCCGATTTCCATCATCTGCGCCGCGCTGAGCCAGTATCCCCCGGTATTTTTAGTCAAGATCTCTTCACAAATGGCATGAAGGAGGTCGTCGTTCACGATTTCCTCTCGCCATGTTTGACTGAGGGTGATGAGGTTTGTGAGGCGGCGAGTGGCGATACCCAGAAACTCCCTTGCTTCCGAGGGAACGCCTTCTAGAAGCCCCGCCGGGATGAGCTTTCGAAGTGGCTCGTCTAGTTCGGCGTTGAAGCGTTGAACTTGGTCTGCAGTCAGGAAGCCTTCAATAATCACGGCACCATCTTGGGCGAATATCTCGGTGATACTTAACGTGCTGCTGGTCCTGGATACGCGTTGGATCGGAGCGATGAGTCTAGTGGTCATACTCTTCGCTGTCGATGCGGTTTCAGTTTCGGTCACGGTGATGCTATCCATGATAATGGAATGGAGGATCTAGTGTGCTGGGTGTCAAGTCAGGGATTGAATGGCAGAGTCGATCTGCTTTGTCGTGGAATGAATAATGGCAATTGCCATCAGGTCAAGAGCTGGTAAGTACACCGTACCCTTTATCTCCATACCATGCTCGCTCTCTGCCCGTTGTCTAAGAGAATAATATGACTGTTTGCAAAATTCGCCTGACCTCCAAGGTCCCTTCAACCTCCAATCTCGGACGTCGAAGCGCGGAAAATCCGAAAGGGAGGAACGTTCACACGCCCAGCCCGGGAACCTGAGTCCATCGTTTCGGACAAGGATGTTTTGACAGCGTGGGCGTGGGTAGGATGGCGATTCGAGTCGACTTGCGCACTACCAAGGACTGGAGGATGTTACCACAAGCCTAGAAACCGGATTGTCCGAGCTCCACAGTCAACCGGTTAACCTGAAGCTGGAGAGGAGAACAGGCCCATCAAATCGCCTTGGGGCCATTTCTTTCTGGGGTTGAAACTCGTTTGGTCGTGAGTATAGTCTTCTTATCCAATATAGAATCCGAGCATATAAGGAAGTAATCGTTCGACTTCAAGCATAGAACAACATGGATGACGAAATCTTTATCGAGGCTTTCACAAGCTGCGGTCCATTTTCTGTAGACCCGATAATCAGCCGAATAAACCGAAATTTGCCGCATTGCACAGAATTGTAATAGCGAGAGGAAGCCTTAGTTGGAACATAGCACTCGATTGTAAATCCCAACCATGCATCTCTACCCATCTCTGTCGCTTCACTCACAAAAATCCCTGAATTCACCCCGACAAGCACGTTCTTCGTAGTCGTAGTAGACCTGGAACTCGCAGTAGCACACATCCGCATCGCTCTCTGCGTCAAAGTTGAACCGTGCTTCTTCATCCGGGATGACGACTTTCGCCATGTTGTTAGCCGCAGCAGCCTCGGCCAGAAGTTGAACCCTACAACTATTCTCCATGCTAGTGAACAACCACGCTGCCTCATCCACAGTCGCGCCGACGGTCAGGATACCATGATTGCGAAGGATGCATCCTTTTGCTTTGGTCCCGAGTGCCGCTGCGATCCTCTCACCTTCTTCCTCTGCCAACACGACCCCGCCGTGGTTGTCGTACACGGCATGAGCATCGCCGAAGAACTTGCACGCGTCCTGCGTGAGCATTTCCAACCGCTTGCCGAACACCGACCACGCCTTCCCATGCACGCTATGGCAGTGGCATACCGCGTGCACATCCTGGCGAGCCTTGTGAATTGCTCCGTGGATCAAAACGCCCGCCGCATTGGGCGGCTTGAGGCGGTTGCCGCCAATGATGTTGCCTTGGAAATTAACTAGGATCATGTCGCTGGCGTTGAGGACTCCAAAGTGTACGCCAAGCGGGTTCGTCCAGAACGCATCGCGGAATTCCGGATCACGTATGGATATGTGTCCGCTCATGCCTTCGGTGTAGCCTGATCGTGCCCAATGCCTGAATGCAGCGGCCATATGCTCGATTTGCCATTTTCGTTGAGACGCAAAGTTTGGGAAGAGAGGGACTCCGGCAAGGATGACTGGGCCGTGTGAGAGCGCTTCGAGAGGTGTGTTCTCCTGTTTCTTTTTCTGTAGTTCCTCTGAGTCCCCGACGTTAGGAATTTTATGAGTTGTCCCCTGTTTGCTCTCGGGCACAGAGACAAGGTCACTAGAGGCGATTGGTGCCATTTGTTGTTGACAATTCAGGATAGATTTCTATCAGCAATGCCTTTAACAGATCAACGACAAAGATTTGAGTCAGAATGGAAAACAGTTGCAGGACCCCCATCGCGGAATGAACGACCAATAGCCTAGAAATACCATGATCCTTGTATTGTTGTCGGTGAGGACAATGAATGACCGTCATCAAAGATTGTCTTGACAATGACTAACTTGGTATTGCAAAATTATCGTCGTCGACAAAAGTCGAAACCCGAAGCTGAATGTGGAGGGTCGGATTTTCCGAAGCACATTCGGGGCCACACCTCGGACATTCCGTCGAATTGCAAGGATACACGCCAAGAAATCGATCCAGAAGCCGCTGCAATTCTCTAAGCATCAGTAAGTCTTCAATCTGGGAACTCTCAGGACAGCAAAAAGGCAAGAGTGGTGTGAGGCATAGAGCACAAGAGCATGAGCACCAGTCTTGGGGAAAACTCCGAGAGCACTGAGGAGAGGTGGAAGGCATGGAGGCGAGGAATAGATCGAATCATCTTTCGCAACTGGTGTATCTTCTTTTTGGTCCAAACGAGTCAGTATATCTAGGATAACTAGGACCATATTGCGGACTCGGGGTTTCGATTCTTCAATCATCTAGTTTGCTCATGGGGCAATACGATGGGAAGCGTTGACACTTCTGTTCCTCCACCGAAAGTTGAAACGAGTACTTCGTCCTATGTTGTTAATGAGCATCCCTTGGGGAAACCAGATCTATTGAAAGTAATCTGCATAGGTGCGGGTGCTACAGGTTTGGAAGTTGCCTACAAGCTCCAAAAACATCTCCGCAATGTCGACTTCCAGATTTACGAGAAAAACGAAGCCCTGGGCGGCACTTGGCTGGAAAAACAGGCGAGTTAGTAGTCTGCGAGACATGAACATTAGACTGACATCTATAATCAGATATCCTGGATGTGCTTGTGACATTCTTGCGCACATATACGAAATGAGCTGGGCTCTGAATCCGGACTGGAGTGAGTTGTAAGTTAACCGCCTGAACTGATCTCAAAAGAGGCCAATGAAGGCAGACCGAAGGACTGACATTCGCGTCTTCAGTTACGTCGACAGCAAAGAGATCTGGGAGTATTTCAACAATGCGGCCCAAAAGTTTGGACTCAACCGATACATCAACCTTCGACATAGGGCTGTGGGAGCGGTGTGGGAAGAGACTCGGGGAGTCTGGTTGGTCGATGTCCTGGACGAAGCCACTAGAATTAAGTTCACCGATTGGTGCCACTTTCTCATCAATGGCTCCGGCTTCTTAAAGTATGCTGAACATTTCTCTCTTGGAGTTTGAAGAACTTGAGGTAACCGAAAAATCTGCCTCGAAAAGCCATTGGAGGTGATCGGACATTCCTGGCCTCGACTTATTCAAAGGAACAAAGTGTCACGAGCCCCCGTTGTCCCCAAGTACTCTACGCCCTCCACCCGAATCGGGTGGACGGTATAGAAAGAAAAGGAAAGGATAAGGCAAAGGACGGTTGAGGCACAAGGCTATCGGTTAACGCTGCCTTACCCTTTTCACGTGATAGAAAGAGGGGAAGCTATAAGAGTCTCCTCTCACCTGAATCGGCTGAGAGAGAACTCTTCCTTTTTCTCAAGCGTTGAGTCGTTGTCAATAGGGCTACGTGAATAGAACAAGGCATTCAGCTACTCCAATTCCTTTGTACCTACTGCGTTGCGTAGGTCCCTGATACAAAGCTCCATTCAGCAGCCTGGGATGAAAGCGTGGTACTTAAGGGAAAACGTGTAGCTGTCATTGGAAATGGCTCGTCAGGCATACAGATTGTGACAGTGATACAGCCTGGTGGGTGTTGAGATGATCGATTGGAACTTTCAAGCCGACCATACCACAGAGGTCGCGGCTCTGTCTGTTTTCATTCGCAGCCCTACGTGGGTATCAACTTCTTTTGCCCAGGATTTTGCAGGTCCGAATGGGATCAACTTCTCGTGTGAGTTGTAAAGTCTACTTGGCACTCGCTGCCTCACTGACGTATTCAAGACACCGACGAACAGAAGCAAGCCTTTCAGAACGATACACAAGGCCTACAATCCTATCGAAAAGCCGTTGAAACAAACATGAATTCTAACCACAAGGTGGTATGTGCTCGCTGATACTTTCTTCTTGTCCAAAGGCATCAATCCTAACGTTTATTGCCTCGGCAGGCTCATACCAACTCCCCTGAACAACAAATTGCTGTTCAATATCTCACCAAGATCATGAAATCTGGCATTGGGGAGAACCATCCGCAGGCGGACCGATTAATCCCGGACTTCGGTGTTGGTTGTAGGTCAGTCGTTTAAATCACAAATCGTTCAGAAGCATAACATATCCATCTCACTACTAGGCGCCCAACCCCAGGTGTTGGCTATCTGGAAGCGTTGGTGGCGTCCAACAACCGAACCATTTTCGACCCTATTGCCGAAGTAGTCGAAGATGGCATCAGGCTCAACACTGGGGAGCTGATCGAAGTCGACGTCATCGTCTGTGCCACAGGCTTCGACGTGTCGTGGAAGCCTCGTTTCCCAGTCATTGGTCGTGGCGGTATAGACTTATCAGATCAATGGAAGGATCGACCACTCAGCTACCTCTCGTTCGCGGTGCCGAACTTCCTAAACTACTTTAGTAAGTCGCTTGAGCTCAAGGCAACAATGCCGCACTAACGATGTGGCAACCACAGTCTATTTGGGTCCTAACTCGCCACTATCTCACGGATCCGCACTCCCAAGCATTGAGCACCTAACCAAGTACCTCATTCGATTGCTCCACTAGGTTCAAATAGAGCAGTATAAAGCCGTCGAACCAAAACTCCAGGCTATGCACGATTTCATTGAGCATGCAGACGCTTACTTGAAGCGAACTGTTTGGAGCACCAAGTGTCGCTCGTGGTTGAAGGGCGGTGGGTTCTTTTGTGTTTCGAGATTGATGGTTTTCGATTTCCACTGACGTTACTACTATAGGCAAAGAAGATGGTCCACCGTTGGTCCATCCCGGGAGCCGTGTTCATTGGTTCCACATGTTGATGGAACCACGGTGGGAGGAACGGGAGTGGGCATCGCGTTCCACGAACCGATTCGCATATTTGGGTAATGGATTCTCGAGTCTGGAAGGGGAGGGACGAGATAGAGCTTGGTACATAGGTGAGGATGAGGGCAAAGGATATGAGTCTGTGATATATTAACGGCGTTTCTTGGTTGACCAGAGCCTGCGGGCGGGTTCTGGCAGCCTTGCGTGTCGGTGCAGTCACATGGCGCACCTGTGAGGATTGTAGTAGACTTCAGCTGCATGCCTGATTGGATCAGGGCAGCCTAGGATTCAACTTACAGACGTGGGAATATGTGTTGTCAGATTGAGAACTGTCATGGTGATTATGTGAATGGTTGCCATTTATGTGCCCTGGTTGGTGATGTCGGCCTATCTGCAGTCTCAGCGAGACCCTGCCTATCTATATAGTCGTTACCCGAGGCAAGAAGTCCTCTCTTGAGTCTGTATTGGTTATCACATATCTGGCCAGTCTGACACTATCCGTTTGGTCTGTTAGGGTGGTCTGTCTGAGAACGCCATCTGTAACCACTGTAAAGCGGCACTGCCTAGTCACCAATCCATCCGCGTCAACACAACCCCCCAGGCAGTCCTGTGTCGACAAGGTAGTCTACAATGCTTTTTATCGGAGTTCATTTATATCCGTCAGACTGAGTTGCTTGGCGAATCTCTCGAGTTTCTGCCTAGGTAGAACCTTGGTGAAGCCGTCCGCCTTTAACATCGCCTACCCATTCAGACAAACGGGGTATGGTTGTTTTCGCGAAGATCCCGCTAAAGACTGGAATGAAGTACCTCCAGAATTTCGAGATTTCTTTTCGAACGCTCCTCTTACGGCAATGCACAGGAAGGGTAGTCCACGGTTTCTTCACGACGGTCACATCAAGCCGCAACCGATGCGCCGAACCAGGCGCCAAGCTTCCGCCAGAACCCTTTGCCCCGTAAATGAGTGCACTTGACAGAGGTGACTGCCGATGGACCTGCTGTTGGAATTCGTAATGGCAAATTTCCCCTCAATGGCATCTCATTAGCTTAATGGGCATTGCAGGCGCTTTTTGGAGCTTCGTCTGCTGAGAATCACAGAAAGCACTCGAATCTCACGTTGCCACAGGATTAGCAGCTAATTTTCATCTAGAACCGTCGGTTGCCAATTTCTTAAATGCTCATGGCACAACTTCGGGCTTGGAATCTCGCAGGAGGATAGCTGCCGCTTCGGGCCTTAACCCAAGCCTCATCGGCACAGCGGAAGGAAACACATCATTTCTCAGCCAGACTTCCTTCAGTCTCTTGGCTGTTAGGAGCTACTAAGCGCACGAAATTATACCTCCATGAGTGACTTCCCTCGGAGACTGAACGGATACAGCAAAGATCGGAAGAAATGCTCGGCCTAAAATGTCGCTCAAGAAATGAGCAAAGAGCGCTCGGGATTTTCGGCCCGGCAAGTCCTTGGCATCCCCGCGTCGAGGGCTTTTCCGTCCGACTTGCATGGAGATATCCTCCGCTATCGAGATGCGCGAATACGAGCTTCTCCGCGAGCTTGGCAGGTATATTTCCTCTCCAATGACGTCCATGAAGAAGAGCGAGATTCAGGGAGAGAGGGAAAGCCAAGATGATCGTCATCGGGTAGCTTCAGAAGCCCCCTGCTTGCGTTGCATTCTATCTTTACCTTCTTGTTTGCTGCCTCTCACGATTTATGCTGGTTGCCAGTTAGGAGCTTGGCAATTATCCTATCGCCATGCTTTAACAGGAAGGCGCGAAGTTGGAACGTTGGCTTTACGTTGTGATGGTTGCGATTGTTGCGGAGGTCGACGATGCTTCCCCTTGCAAGCGGAACGATATAACAAGACCGTTCCCAGTTCACACGGCAAGTACTTCCTTACGCCTCAACCAGGATTCTAGTCATCTGCAATGTTGCTAACCAGGCCTCTCCCATTGCTCAGTCTTCGCGCTATTGTTGTACTTGCCTGTGGGCGAGACCACCTTCATTCGCAAGTCTTTGATCATCATGTTGCTCTTGCAAAGAGGCAGGAGACCGTGTTCCCTCCTGTCCTTGACCAGAATGAAGCCATCTTGCTCAATTCCTTTGACAACGCTACCATCGAAAGTTGGAGCTACTACTATACTCACGGTCTGCATGTGGCAGGTACGAATCAATCAATGGCTCAGTGGACAGCTGATCGCTGGAATGAATACGGTTTCACGGCAGGTTTGGTGTCATACTGTACGTTCTCGGTCCATTCAACCAAACGCAGAGCTGAGGAAGGTAGATGTCTACCTGAATTACCCAGTGTCACACTCATTGACCGTATCATTCGCCAACGGGTCAACTTTCGCACCGCTACTTGAGGAGGAAGTATTGACAGAGGACGAGACCACTTCTTATCCGAACAGAGTACCCACTTTCCACGGCTACTCTTTTACTGGCGATGCTGAAGGGGAGTACGTCTACGTCGGACGCGGACAGAAAGTCGACTTCGAACGTCTGAAGGCCTTGGGCGTGCAACTGGAAGGAAAAATTGCACTGGCGCGCTATGGCGGTCCATTCCGCGGACTCAAAGTCAAGAACGCCCAAGAGTATGGTATGGTGGGGTGTATCATCGTGAGTTACGCACCTGCTCGCGCTTGAGCAGCAGGCGACAAGCATTTGCTCGGCTGGATCAGTTTCTCAACCTTCTTTCTCTACACCCAGATCAAGCCGTGTAATCAACCGAAGAGATATTGACGTATTTGTAGTTTACAGACACCGCTGATGATGGAAACATCACGGAGGCGAATGGCTATGCAGCCTATCCCGATGGACCAGCGCGAAATCCTACCTCAGTGCAGCGCGGGAGCGTCGAGTTTCTCTCTACGTATCCTGGTGATCCTGAAACCCCAGGCTACCCATCCAAGCTTGACTCTCCACGGTCAGACAGATCTGTAGTGACACCTCAGATACCGTCTCTGCCGATTTCGTGGAAAGATGCGCAACCCCTTATTCAAGCTCTTGATGGGCACGGGCCAGACGGCAAGACAATAAACCGCACCAATTGGATCGGGAAGCTTAATGCCACTTATTCGAGCGGACCTGCTCCAGGAACTACTATCTCTATGTCTAACGTCATGCGAGATGAGATCACTTGGATCTGGGACAGTATTGGTATCATTAATGGCACTAATGAAGACGAAGTCATCGTCCTCGGCAATCACCGTGACGCCTGGATTGTTGGTGGTGCATCTGATCCCAACTCCGGCTCTGCTGTATTGATAGAGATGGCCAAAGCATTTAGCGCACTGTTGAAGACTGGCTGGAAACCCAAGCGTACCATTGTCTTTGCTTCCTGGGACGCAGAGGAGTATGGATTGCTTGGCTCCACCGAATGGGTTGAAGAGTACATCCCCTGGCTGAAGGAGTCGGCGGTGGCTTATCTCAATCTTGACGGTGCCGCTTCCGGTCCAAATCCAGATCTATCCGCTTCGCCCGAATTGCACAAGATCGCAACAGAAACCATGAAGAAGGTCATCTACCCGTACCATGGCTATAACAATCTGACATACTACGATGTGTGGTATGGCTTGAGCAAGGGCACAGTCGGCGTGCTTGGATCAGGCAGCGACTATACCGCGTTTGTGCACAATGGCATTGCTTCTTTGGATACGGGCTGTGGTGGGGGAGCCAGTGATCCTGTTTATCATTACCACTCAAATTACGACAGCTTCCACTGGATGACCACTTATGGCGATCCTGACTTCCTTGCCCATAAGGCTGTCGGGCAACACTTGTCCTTACTGGTGTACCATCTCGCGAACGACGACATTATACCTTTCGACGTCGAGAACTACGGCGTGCAGATGAGCCGATATTTGGGCGAACTCACCGAGTTCGTTGAGTCGGAGAATGCCACTGCCGTGGTTGACCTCTCTCCACTTGAGACCGCCATCTCAACTTTCAACACTTCAGCTGAGGCTATGACTTCTTTCATCCAAGCTGCGTCGACGGAGGCCGATATCAAACTGGTCAACAGCAAACTAAGAGACTTCAGTCGGGGGTTCGTCTCTCAAGGTGGCTTGCCGACCAGAGAGTTCTACAAGCATGTTGTCTTCGCGCCAGGGTTGGACACGGGCTACGCTCCAGTCGAATGGCCAGGTATTACGGAGGCCATTGACGCCGGCAATTTGACTCTTGCGCAGCTCTGGGTGGAGAAGTCAGCGAGGGCCGTGGAGTTTGCTGCGAGGATTCTGGCGCCGTAGTGCGTCCCATCCACTTGAGCGGGCTTGTATGCTGCCGCAGGCACAGGGCGATGTAGGCCCCAGAGCCAACAATCGCCAAGCCGGACATGACACGGTGGAGCACTAATCATGGTGTCCCACAATTTACCTAAGTAGGTCGTTGCACTAGGGCGAAAACAGTAATCTTGGCAATGCTTAGCTACAGTTTGCTCCCAACCATTGGTGTAGTGATTCGACTCATGTGAGTTGACTGCCACAGAAACACAGTACACATAGCTTGATATATCACTCAAAGGCGAGTCACTCTGATGCGCAGTCGTATGAGGCCAGTTGAAACTCTGGGCCTTTGATGTGGCAAATCGAACTAAGGCGACCTCGTGGAGCGCCCAAGAAACCTCATTCGCGACCTGCTTCTTAACCCGATAATGGCCATGGAGCGCCGATGGCTTTAATCCTGTACTTCCCTCGTTGTAGAGCATGTTTGTCTGACTGCTTCCATCTTTCAGAGGTGCTGCGTCCTTTGCTATACAACTCAAGGTTAGTGAATCCCATGAATGCACTTGAAGCATGGTACGGCAGCAAGGCATCGATTCCGACAAATACGTCTTTCTCGTGGACGTCAGGCATCTTTGCCCTCCATCCAACTATGAAAGAAAATCGGCAATCAATAGTCATGCGGCAAAACGAATGCACTTGAAGCGGAGGCAGTCGCGAAAGGAACAGCTCGGCGGAAATGAAATGTCTGTATTGATGTGGCAAGGCCTGAGACCAAGGGGTCTTATCAATGAAAACAGATCTTGGTGGACGGATACCGACTCTGGAAATGCTGGCATGGCAATCAAGACTCGAACAGCTCACGGGTTGACCAATTACAGCTCGTCAATTCCAACATCTTGTACATCGATCCATTGCTCAGTGTCGATATCTCGCGGGAAAGATCTGGATATAAGCCTGGCAGAGGAGCAGAATTTTGACAAATGTCCACTACTCAGCTCCCAAGGATGTCTCGCCGCACTCAAATTTGCTCAGAATTGCTTTTCAAATAGCTTCGCCGCTCAAAGGGATCTAAAACGGCCTCCCTCACCTGAAGCTTCCGAAACCCAGCTGATCCACGATTGCGCCTTTCGATTTTCTACAGATTTCAATAAGGATGACAGATACTCAAGATCAGAGACATATCCGACTGATAGCTCTGTTAGGCCAGGACAGGCTGGAAAGATGAGGATGACGCCAACATCTCTCATCGGATCAGGCAAGCATGATCCATTTGCTATGTGTTCTTTCACGAGCACAAAAGAAGACTACATGTTTTTTCATTTCTGTGAGCAATCTCTTCTCCACTTCTCGTTGGTGGGGACAGAAGAACTGATATCCACTTGGTCAGTTCACAATACTGTCGCGGAGATTGTTTTCGGCTACGGTCTGGCGGCACCTTTATTCTACTTACGACTAGTGTCACAAAGATTCATCCACGATGAGGCTGTCATACAACTGACCCTGGCATACTCGAGTTATGCCTGGCACAACTTGTTCAGAAAAGACGAATGCTGCGAGAGAAAGGGGCTGATGCATAAAATCAAGGGTATGGAGCTCGTCATCAAGAAGCTGGGACATCCACAATCCGCCATCTCAGACAGCACTATTCAGGCAGCAATTATCTTATCCGCAATTGAGGTGAGTATCAATGCTGAAGTTCTCCGCAGAACGTACTAAAGCATGCCCTTCAGAGTTGCACGGGAAATATAGAAGCTTTCAAAACCCACCTCTTGGGAGCAAGGCTAATGGTAAAAATGCGAGGAGGCCTCGATAGACTCAGTCCTTTTCTGTTATGGCAAATATGCTCGTAAGTCCATTTAACTCTACCGCTTCTAGGGCTGAGCACTCTTACTTACAACATATTCTGTTCCAAGGAACGAGCCACGTATCTTCGAAACTGTTGGTGTAGAGATGTTCCCTTGTATAGATCGCCACTTCGGCTCCTTCCTTCTGGAGTGCCGGCCAGATGTTGCCATGGAGCATGCTGCCTTCAGCAGAACACTACCGTCAGCCAAGCAACCTGCTGAGGAAGTGCTGGAGTTTTTTGAACCTCTTGATTTACCCCCAAGTCTTTATTTCTCAGCCTGCGTCACTGAATTTTTGTTAGTTACGAAACAGTTCAGAGAGCTGAGCGAGATGAGAGATCAGGTCCTGGCAGATCGATCTGGGAAGTTTCAGTCGCCATACGCGTCGGCACAGTGTATATCAGTACCCAACGCCTTTAATTCACCACTACATTCGATCCTCAATCCAGATTGCACTGTCCGGGAATCGTACAAAATTAATCAAAGCCCGACACCAGCGACCCTATACAAGGCCGACACCACCAGAATGGTGTGTTTGTTCTACATCCATGCGACCCTCTGGAGGTATAGACATCAGCCAGAGCAGACGGATGCATACATGCAGCACGTGGTGCGGGACGTACAGCGTAATGGGCTTGAGTCGAGTAAAAGCCTAGATGCGCTAAACTGGGTGTTGGTCTGGCTTTGCCTGAGCGACGAATTCCTGAAGGCAAATAACAACGAAATGGGATGGCAGGAGCTAACAAGATTGATCTTGCGGTTGGTGCGTGTTGCGCGAAGATTGAGCAAGCAAATCCACAGGAATCTCGAGTTCGCCATGTTTGAAAGCCTTCTAGGTAAACAACATTCATTTGTGGCTAGTGGCGTTGCTTGTATGCAGCATTTTGACACAACCACTGAAGATTGCAGGTGGCCTGATCCTGAGGCAGTCTGGAAGGAATTCATGGGATAGTCGTCGCCAGCGCTGGAGAGTTCAAGATGTACCAAAAAATACCGGGATTATATCCGGAATGACGAGGCTTGAGTAGCCAGCCTCGACAACCATTCACGTCAAGGTATCCCTTTAACCACTACCTGAGTGCTGAGCCACTTTCCACGGCACCTTCCGCTCTGTCAAAAGCGTTGGAAATAGTTGTGTGGCGCTAAACGGAAGATCTGTCACAAATCTAGGAGGCCAAGCAGCCGCTAGTGAGGTAGGGCTTGGGAAGCTCACCCTCATGGTCCACATGCTGGGAATGGGGTTATCACACGATAGGTGAGCCTCGAAAACTTAACATATGAGATTTTTTTTTTGTTGGCGCGTTTTCATACCACTGAAGCAATTCAAAGACGCGGAGGATCAGATCGATATATGCGTGGCATGATACTGAGATATTTGCCACCACTAAATCCACCATGCTCTGCGAAAGGCACATCTGTTCCGCTGATTTGTTAGTCAGGGCCAATTGCGGTCGGTATGCCTCGCTAGTTAGCCTTTGCTGACACGGTGCAGGAGATGCTTATTAAGTCTTCGGTTTCAGCCACCACACACTTTCTGCCTTCAATTAAGCCTTAGAGCCTAAAACGCCTTGGAGGTTGGCAGATGAGTAATTCGACCAGGAACCTGTGACAGGAGACCAAGCTCATTAGTAACGCAATCTCCATTCGATCTACTCTTCGCCCGCTACAATGCACACGAGGCAGGTGCCCTTTCAATTATCTTCCAGCAGCAATCAGCAGCAGGACCGAACAAAAGCTTGGGCTGGGTCTGAGCAGATGCCAAGTTATTCAACTAACTTGGTGGTGCAAATGGGGACGGGAACGATGCTGACTAGCGACAGCTTAGGCTGAACGAGGAATAAGCGAGACGGCACAACTACTGTACGAGTGAACTCTGATACGGAGTAATACTCGGTATGTTGCGCAAGCCTATTTAGTCGACGTGGCCCCCGAACCAGCGTCTCAATTCGCGAGTCCAACCAAGGGAACGACATACTCGCACCTCCCGCAGTTGCTCTGCCGCACATCATGGTAATTCTCTTTCTATATCACCAGAGGCATTTACCGCCTCGACAGAGCCCGTGATGACAATTTCACAGCCTACTCACAGCAGCAGGTGATCTCTTTGTTTGATCATCACCATTTCACGATGGATCCTATTCAGCTGTGCTTTGTCGATGGCCGTCCGCGCAATCCAACCCAACGAGCAAAAGAACTGGTCAGCTCGACAATCCGAGCGCATAATGCCAGGGTCGCTCACGCAAAGCGGAGCAATAATGCCACGGCACATTTAATCGAACAGCAGTCTGGCTCGATCAAGCCGTTGATCAGTCGTTTTCGCATAGCTCCCGCCTCTGGGCGTGATCGAGACCACCAAGCAGCGGACCATGAGAAGGCCTTGAAGCGTGCTCAGACTGTTGCCCACGCAGAAGCGAGGGGCCATTTTCAGAGCAAAGAGTGGCTATATGCCATGCTACATCGACAATGGATGGATGCCATCTGGACCCCTTTCTCGCCTCACGTTCCAAAGCATGTTGCAATATGTGCGCACTCCTTAGATTTCCTTAGGAACGCCCGCTTTTATTTCTCTGTGTTTCTGGATATGGGTCTAACACTTCTCCACGTAGACCAACAAATGATCGTACCCACCATACAGCTCGCGTTTGAAGTATTTCATGTCCGGAATACTCACAACTACGAATTCCTTCAGTGGATGACGCGACCCACAACGTCGGGGTACCATGCTGGCGCGGCCGGCTTGCAGCTCCTCTATGACCAGCAAGTCTCGCCTGGCTGCGGCCAGACTCGACAATGTCTCTCCCACAAAGTGAAAGCGTCTGCAATCCTAAGGGGGACGTTGTCTCATTCTCCGACAAGGGTACCTGACGACGAATTGCTCGTTATCTTGTCTCTGGCAACTGTGGAGGTAAGCGTGAAACCTCATTCCGACATTGCACGCTAGCCTCCCTAAAATTCTGATTAGCGAACAGTAGACATGGAGGTTCACCAATATCATCTCGAGACACTAGCAAAGATTATTACCGCTCAGGGCGGCATGGATTTGGTAGCTGATCATCCTAAATGCACAATACTCCAGTAAGTACAATATCTCATAACTTGCACTTGCACACAAAAGGAAAGATGAAGAGAAGGCAATGCTCGGCACCTATCTAACGTGGGTATCCCTTCTTCAGGTTCGACGCGTGGTGGAGCCTGTCCACAGGACTTCGATACTTTTCTTCTCCGCAATCTCTCCCTCAACCCGAGGTGGAGCCGGAAATATTGTCCACTCGATTCCAGCACCAGATCCACGAAATCCCTATGGGTTTCCGCCCCTTTATCACGGAAGGGAAATGGTCCGGCAGCACCGTTGAGATTCTCATCCGTCTCGCATATGTCTACCAAAGGGGGAAACTCCAGAGAGACGAGTCGGGATGTATCGTCGGCCTCCCTCTCACAGCCCGACCGGTCTGGCGAACTTTCCAAGAGGCATGTCCGGCATTGGACGCACCAGGCGCGGGCAATGAGAAGCTGCTGGCGCTGGCGCTGGTTCTTTACTGCGGGATCGGCTTCGATTCAGCGCCTGTGTCGAGCAACGGAGGTCTCGCATCGAGAGGTGCACTCACCAAAATACTCACCCTGTGCGAGCTGCTGTTAGAGTCGCCAGACGAAGTGTCTCTTCTCTTTTGGGTATGGATGGTGACCATATGCGCGTGGCACAATGCCTCTGGGAACGGGTTCTTGCCACCCGGTGTCGAGCTGCTTCTGAAGTTACGTCAGAGGTTTGTAAATGTCGAGGAATGGGATGCGGCAAGCGAAATATTGGAGGCCTTCTTCTGGAACGACAAGCTTAGCGAGCTATGCAAAGCAAAGTTTGAAGGAACGTGTCTTGGTCAAATGCACAAGACTTACTGAATGACAACTATAGGACCTCGAGTAGGCATCAGTGTACCTACACTTCTCAAATGTTGGAATATCTCTAATGAGCAGAGTAGCAGCGCACTGTTTGACATTTTCCCAACTGTGGCACAGTTCAATGGCCCAACCTTGCGCAGCCTTGTCCAACATTCGCTCGCGTAACTGCCTAGAGGGCCCCGTACGGCTCAATTATAGGACATGGAGCACAGTAACAGAAAACCTGCAACGAATTACAAGGTATTCTATGAGAACAAGTTCAGACTGATTCCAACGGGACTAGGTCTACCTATTATGCGGAAAGGACAAGTCGTGCTGGAAAACGCAAAATTGAACAGCAGTGCCTCGCCTGTATCGGCAACGGCACCTGGAGGGTGGTCGCCACAGACTTGACATTTAATATGTGTTAACAGCAAACTGGACGTTTTCAGGGGTCGATCAGTTACTGGTTCGATGTTAGTATATACTTCTGGATTCTCAAGCGGGTTTAGGTGAAGGATGGATGCGGGTAGGAGCGGATTCCCAGCCAGATGACCCTAGGGGACGTAGGTCTAGAAACACCAGATCCAGGAAGGAGCCTAATTAAGGGCGCCTCCCCGTTCACCGGATTTGTATCGAAGGTGCATCTTCCTTACCGACTGAGACTGGGTAGACACCTCAAAGACCGTCGTAAATACCACAATGCTTCACAGCTGATGCCAAACGCCGCATTATCAAGTGCATCTACACCGTGTTGTTCTGGATTTGTTTTGGCGATGTTCTTGCTCTTGTCCAGGAATTTTTTTTCAAATTCGGCAGGTGGTTAAATGAATCCCGTTCCCAGCCCGAGCCGCCTTTGCATATGGGTGCCAAGGCGCGAAGCAAGCCACCGATCGATATCGGCCTATTGGGCTGAAAATCCCCTTTAAGCGAGCCGGTGGCGAGCTTCAGGAGCTGGACCAACAACAAAAAAACTCCTTCCCGTCTAATCACCCTCAGCCGTAGGCTCCCAATACTCAAACCGTTTGCTATTGTGACGCCCGCTCGTCGCCTCGGAAAAACCAATGGGCGATTCCAGACCTGGCGAATGGTGTGGCTGGCCCAAGGCTGGCCCTCGTAGATCGACAACTATGGACTGTACGATAATATTATCAATGGAATGCGCGTGTAGAGCGGCCTAGACGGCATGGGTCTCAGCCAGGCCCCCGTCGGCTTGCCAGGGGACGACTATTTCTGTGTCAAGGCTCTGTCGCCCAGCGAGGCCCGGAGAGGGGCTGCGCTCTCCTCGCGCCGCCCAATAGCACCTCGGTTTTCTCATGAAGTGGGCAATACGCAACAGGCCACCATGTTGGTATCCACTCTTCGTTCGGCCACGCGCTTTGGGAACGACTTCGTCTGGTACCGGGTTCCCAGCCAACTCTCCTCAATGTCGCTGAGCCAGGTCTGCCTAGTTACAGGCTAGTTTGGAGGTGCTTGTTCTCGTCGATTTCGAGCGCGGGCGGCGAGCAGAGGAGACATCGTCACCTTGGTCTGGATCAGAAGCGAATTTTGGGTTCTATTCTTGGAGGCTAGGTGTCATCGCTTTGCAGAGATCTTCCCGCATTGGCTTGACCGGACCTTGACTTGGAATGCCCCTGGATTGGACAATTCAGCTGATGAGACACCGCACCCTCATTAATAGGATTTTTAAAATTCTGACAAGTCTCTGGACGAAAAGAGCACATGATATTCATTGTTCATTTGTAGTTGTCCAAGTCGGTCTTTGATATTCGCAATGAGGATTAGCGAGGTGGACATGCCGGAATCAGAAGACGGAACGCGCATCAGCGCCTGAGATAGCTGAACTTGTCTCTTACCGTACCGGGATTCTTGCGTTTGAACTCCAGCTTCCGAAGAACCTGATAGGAGAACTGTTCGTTCCAGAAGAACTTTTCGCAAATCCTGATTCGCTGCATCCAACTGTGCTTTAATTCTTGCTCGTCCAAGATCCTCATGCCGAGCGACCATGTCAATGCTTCGATGTGGGAGCTTGCCAGCATCATCATGCCCACCCAGGTCAGCCACTCTGCTTGGTGGCTCCGTCGGTGGGTGCTGTCCGGGAACAAGAAGCTCGAGGGAAGGAGACCGGTGTGGACCTGGAGATATGCCAGATTCAGAAAGCGTCCGCGTTCGCTATAGTCCATTATTGAGCAATACGCCTGCAAGGCCATCAGGAGAAATTGGTCTTGTAACGGCAGGTGAGGGTTCTGAAGCAATTCAAAGCATTTCGTCCCGTTGGTAAGATTCGCTTCAATCAGTGTGCCATTCAAGGATGGGTGACTTTCTGTGTGTTCGGAAGTATTCGCTTTTGCCGCATCCACCCATGCTGCAACATCAGAGATTATGTCGATCACTGCAATCAGCGGGCGTTCATTTATACAAACCTCTTCAAATGCTCGCGGTAACTTAGCTATCTGGGCACAGATGACTGGAGAATACGGGTGAACGGGGCGACTAAGGCCTTTGAATGTGTAGGTTGAGATTCCTTGACGACGTACGAGTGCCCGTTGGCATTCTGCATGCGCGATAAAGCTGAGGAGGAACGACCACGTAAGCCAGACCGGGTCTCAGAGTCGAGGGCACACACACACCTGTCAGTTACATTCGCAAGCCAGCCGTCGAATCCCAGTTGTTGGGCTCCTCCTCTGCGAGCGATCGCCTCGATTATGGCCTGCAAATGCATCCAGGCACTTTCGTAGTTGAATGTCAAGTTCTACGCTTGGGTCAACTTCCCAGGTCTTGTCCCGGAATAGGAGGGAGTTTTACGTCGAAGGTGGCCAGGAACATCATCGTACAAATGACCACATCGGACACCTTATCATCTGCCGATTGTAGGTATTGACGGAGAAGTCTAATGGTTACGTCGTACATCCCCTTTGCCTGCGGAGACGGGCCAACGCGTTGTCGGTCCATTAGATCGAATTGCAACATGGAATTCGCCAGCAATGCGGCAAACGACAACTGGTTGCTGAGAATAAGGGGAATGTAATGACGAAGAACTGGCAGATCCTCTGCAAGGCCATGGAATTGGGGTCTCCGGAATGTGGCAGGCGCATAGATGTCAGTGTCTGTCATACTCTCTTAACATGGTTCTTGCACAGCTCCAAGTAAGCGGGGGACTCACAGTATCTGCAGGCAGTTTTTGCCATCCCCTCAACTCTGATAGGGAAGATGTCCAGCGGCAAGTGCGTCAGCGTTAATGGTCGCCGATGAGCTTTTGAAAGACTCATGTCATGACCGCGCTCGGACTTCCACTCTTCCTGTTCCTCCTCCTTCGGAGGCACCGTCAGATCTAGATGCGGGCTCGCCATTCTCTGCGATTGTGCACCAAGTATGTTATGGCTGCATTTGGGCGCATACCATCTCACATGGCCGTCATCCTTGAGGTTGGTTACTGCGCGCTCAAGACGATGACTTTTGTGGCTCCTCTTCGGATGGGGACGACGGCGTTATGCACCTAGAGATCCAAGGCTTTTTTGATAGTCCTTTTGGACTAGCGGAATGGCGCTGAGGAATTCCCGGGCATTGCACTCGGCCCGGAGACGTGTTGGATCCACCGTAAATGTGATAGAGTCTCTTCCAGACTAGGCGCAAGGAAGACAGATAATTGAGTGAAACCCCATTGCGCCCGAAAGGGTCTGTTTGTGTAATATTTGTGTCGGTCTGATTACCTCAGCAATGTCCAATTGGTTCTAGCGGTCCTCTCGTATTAATATAGCACGAGTTCGGGGAATGGCCGATGGCGCCTGAGGAGTAATACGAGCAAAGGAACATCACCAGCCCAGCCAGCTTTTCGAAGGGGTCTCGCGGCACGAGTGTGTCTGGGTAAAATGGTCGTTTCCTAAAAAGGTTGGAGGATACATTCTCGTTATTGGCTCGGCTGTGGAGCATCAGGCCAGAGGGTTTCCATTTCAAGCAAAAAGAGAGTTGGAGTGGATAAGTTTCCCATTCTCTCAATATGATGGCGATCAATCGATTACCATGTCCATGGCCGTAACGACGGAAAAGGCGGCGGATGGCCCATGGAGCTTCGAGGAAGCGGATGCCAAGGTCAGACCAGCCTCTTTTACCCTTCGATCTCGTTCATCGAGTCTCGAAAGATGGAGTCCTTTGGGGAAGGTGGTCCTTTTTGATAAAATTGACGAGCGGCGGAGAGCCCTCGAGTCGCCTCTGCAGGGGAGCTGTTGGCGCTCGCAGCGGATAACACCCGCGTCGTTAGTCACCGCATGCAGGGTGTGCAGCGGTGTTTGAGCCTGACTAAGCTCAGCCTTGCCGCCATTGGGTGGCCACGGTTGAAGCCTTCGGCTCCTCTTACCCCAGTATATGGAGTACATCTCAATGCATTGGAGCTGAACCAACAAGGTTTCTGGGCGAGGCCTATGGTTGTTAGCTGGAGGGAACAAAATAAAAAGAACGATGAAATACAGGATGAAAGGCTGGGCGTGGAATAAAGAACTAGAGAAAGATAAAGGGCGGACATAACTAGTCGAGGTGAATAGAACATTATGCTCGTTTCAGAAGACCGCCTCTAGGCCGTGTGAAATGAGCTTCTCCCCCATTTGTGGCCGCATTGTTCACCAGGTCCTGCCACCTGACCCATTTCAAGGTCGCCCGTTGACGTGTGAATCTACTACTCCTCTTGTACAGAGCTATGGCACGGTTGTTGTATTTGAAGTGCTTGTCTCAATGCCAAATCGGAAGGCGCTTCTGAGGGACGGTGCGGTCTGAAGGTTTGCCCCGGGGATTGGCGGCGATTGAGGTGCTGGAGGAGTTCGAGATGGGTGTCGTTGCAGGGGTAGCTGCTTGGTTTGCTTTCTGGCACCGTGGCTGGCGTAATTGTCGATGCAATCTCAGAGTTTGGTGTATGCGATGGAGGTTCCTTGGCTCCTGCAGTTACTTGCTCCTGACCGGGAATCAGAGCCTGGAATAGATGCCCAAACTTTGAGCATACGGATGCTTACTCTTTCAACTTGGCTTCACGCAAATCCTTCTGGCGGTCTCAGGAAAGATTTCATCAGCACTGCTCGCCTCTGCTTTCATCCTCTCAAGATTGAAGACATGCTCCTCCGAAAAATCGTCTTGCTCGGATAGATACCGAAACGCAGGTCCCTGGGTCTGAGCACGAATCATGCCCAGGGCCTTTCCAATCCCAACTCGTTCCTGAATGCTAAAGAGTCGATCCCACTCCTCCACGTCGTGCATTTTCGAAAGCCAGTATGCCACACGTTCGACCACATGCATTTGCATGGGAAGAGGGGTGGTTTCGGAGAATGAGGAGCGGAAGAATTCGCCGGACGGGATTGTTGGTACGAAGGAGTCGAAGACGTCTGCGAGCTCGTGATATGCCAGCACCCGCAGCCCCGGACTCAAAAAGCGACCGGCCCATGCGGTACACCTGGAGCCAGAAAAAACCTTGATGCCAGAGCTGAATGGCGACCTTATAGATCCTATCACGTCACCAAATCATTCCCGTATCAAGCTAGGGGGCGTAAAAGGCGAATATTTTTGGCTCTTCTTCCGGTAACTTCACCTCATGTCGTTTCCCTTGCGGAAATGCTCCTGAGAGGGCTCGCTCGAAGAACTTCGAGGACGGACATAAGAGAGCTCTGTGAAGGACGACCTCCTGCTCACTTTCTGCAGCAACAAGTTTGAAAACAGGAGTACCGTGGTCGACATTGGTTGGTTTTTCATTTGCAAAAAGGAGCGCCCCGAATGTGAGGCACTGAAACTTGTATGAGGAACTTAGGGAAAGTAGACCGGCACGGAGGATTTGACAAGAACAGCTTGAAGGCGATGTTGTGGATTTGTTTTCGTATTGCAGAGCAAAGGGGGACTGGAATGAAAGAAATCATGTCCTAAACAAAACGTGGAAGGCGCCTTTGAGGGAAAAATAGACTTCTAGACGCAGGAGAAATTCCTTGCTTCTCTTCCTCCGTACAATTCTCTCAAATCCATGCCGACTATTCCAATCACGGGTACATCATCTGGCCAGGACTTACATAGGGCTGCTTGGTCTTTGGATCCATACCCGTCGTTCTTACAATGGCCTCCTTGTCTTCCTGGATCAAGGCACAACATCCACACCAGCAAGATGTGCAGAAATCGCCGAAACTGCCGCCCTCGATGCCATATCTTTCACGTGTGGAGCCTCGATTAATGCACTGTAGGATGCATTGCCCTCCAATGCACGCTAGGCAGTAGAATGCACAGCACTTTGGTAAGACGTCAGCTGTTGAAACAGGACACATAAGAGAAGCAAGGATCGAGAAGGAGGCAGAAAGACTTAGCAAGGCGACGAGACGGGTAAATAAAAATAAAAATACCTGTCCGTTAATGCCACTAGAATCATGATCCCCCTTGTAACGGTCTTGTGTCTTGCCGTAAAGGATGCATGGACACCAACATGCCAGACAACCTGTTCCGCAAGATCAAAGTCAGTAGTCAATCGTTTCACAACAGCTTGGTTAAGTGGCAACATACACGTGCTGAATGGAGAGAAACAGTCAAAGAGACCGAATGACCATTTGCCCTGAGTACCACCAGGGTACGCTCCAGCAGCCCCGGTCACTGGTTTTTCGTGGGCCATTCCGTTGGGTTGCTGTGCCATTATCGTCCTTTGATGGAAAATATGTTTAGAGTGAGAGTATATGAACAAGGCCAGCAAGCTCAGAGATAAGTAAAGACAGCGACACCAAGGACAAGAATAGGGAGGCCTCAGGGTTCAAAAGCACAACTCAATCGAGGGAGGGGAGGTATTGGCATATATCAGTAATACAAGAGCATAATTTCGGGTAGCCGTTGATCGAACGCTCCAGGAGAGACGCAGACTGGACTGATCGTCTTGAGAGTTTCCGTGAGACTCTACCTATTTCAATAGGAAACTTTGGCCTCAGCTGAACGAGGTCGGCCCCCTACAGGGCATGGTTATGGTTCTTGCAGGAGTGACGATGGCAGGGTTGTCAGCCTCCTGCCCCTTAGGCCTTGCAAAGGCACGTCCACCCCACTGACCGGTATTATTGGACGAAATGACTGTGAGGGACTCGGATATGGCTTGAGAAAGAATGACCAGGGCTGATGAAAGGGGGTCCTGATGTCGGAACTCTGGTGGCCTTAAGGTTTCAGCTGGATGGTGGCCGATTACCTAAAATACGGAGTGGGAAAGGTCATGCGTCTTTGCCGTGAGAATTGATGATGCTGGTCCAGAGCGGTCGACAAACTTGTGATCAGCGAGACGGATACTAGCTATTGCGACTTGTGGAGATTTGACCCCGAAGGCGGCGCTCTTTGATTTTGGAACCTGACAATTCTGGCTGCTTCACACTTTTTAGATGCTATCATAGTTGCCCTGAGCTCGAAGTCAATGAATTGGGAGAACCTGGGAGCTCTCAGAGTCGGCTCTCGGGATGAGCTCACTAGCCTTTGACTTTCGCAAGCGAACAGTGCGACCTCTTTCACGGGTACGGGGTCAGCTGTGAAAAGTCGCAAAGTTGCCCGCGGCCACGCAAGCCCCTGAGAGAGCAGATGCAGCAAAAGCTCTTACATGACGGGACCGCCTCCTAAGGCTTATAATCGTCTTGGCTTGTGGTTCGTCGATTGACGCCCGAGCTTCGGTTCAAAAGAGCGAACCTTTTTCATAATTTCGAGTTTGAAAAAGGGATCTCCCTCCTCATTAGCGAAACCCCACAATTGGGGGCTGAAAAAGTCTAACAAAGAAAATAGGAGGTGGAGACGAGAAGTGGTTCTATCATATCCGTCAAATCGACGAGAGAGGCGTCGTTGAATTAGGTATCGAGTACCTCGTACGGGGTCGTAAGTGACACGGAAGACAGATAGTAGATTTCGCTGGCCTGACTGCGCTCCGTATTGGGAAAATTTCCGACTTTCTGAGACGCGTGGAATGACGGAACATGCGTTCGGTGTGGGTTCCCCTGATCTCCTTGAAACTGGAGGCTCTTGTGCACCTTTCGTCGCTGTGAGACTATTTGATGCTGAAGCGTCTCCAGGGTGGCCTTTCAACATTCCATTTACTCAACCCACCCACTCTCAAAAATGGCGTTGCCTTCCGCGGGCGATTTCTGACCGACAGTTACACTTTTGGCCGCATTTCTGGAGGTTACTCGTACAAAGTTTTGTCCTCTGGGTTGTGCCATTCGAGACGAAACTCAGATAGGCAAACTGCAAATGTGCACCGTGGGACAGGTTTTAGAGTTGAGGGTTGCCGCATTTGGCCCCAATCTGATGCCTCCGTCTGTGGCGACTGGAATAAGGCCGCCAGATAATTTCATTCTGAAATTCATCGTCCTGGGATTCAGTCACGGGACATCCATTAATTCGTTGTCATCAATATTCGTGTTTCCGTTCGGTGAAGCGTGCATCGCGTGCGCTCGGTTGTATTCCTCCCTCATAATCTCCAAAATCTTCTGAATCTGCGCCTCGCCTTCTTCGCCGGGAAAGCGTTCCTCTAGCTCCTCTACAACAAGAGAAAGGAACTGGCGGTCGTCAGGATCCCGGGGCTCTTCCTCTCCTTCTGCAGTCTTTTGACCGTTGGTCTCGTCGGCGGCGGCGGCGTCATCATCGTCATCGATGTCGCCACCCTCACCGTTGGCCCCCTCAGTTTGCGCATTATCATCTGCGGTCTGTTGCTGTTGTTGCCCCCTTGGTAATCCCAACCCCAAATTGATCAACATCAAGACTTCTGTCTTCGTCAACCCAAACACGCGCAATCTAGGCACGACATTTTTTATGAATGTCTCGATCGGAGGGTATTTGGCGATGAAAGGGACTGTATTCGTGACATAATGCTTAAACTAGACAGACATTATGCCAAATTAGCTCTTCTCTCTGATTTGCCTCTTGTAGAAGTTTCTTGGTCTCAGGAAGATAATCTCGGTCCTATAGACGTACATCGTCTAGCACACGCTGGTTGTCCTTCAAATCAATCTGCTTGTAAGAGCCAATTTTCCGAGGCGGAGGGCGAGGTGGGTTTTGGCAGAGGAACTGATACACTTCGGGGGTTGTTAGGAGAGCCGACTGGGGGTCGAGGACCTGAATGTTGTCAGTAATTGTCTCTTTAGGTCCTGATCGGAGGCGACAAGGCCATCAAAGAGAACATACTCTCATTTTGGCGGATTTCCTGCTCTCTACCTCCCTGAATTCATATCAAGCATGTAGCAGCACCCACTCCAATTTGCTTTTATCGAACAGTCATTCTGAGAAGCGTGTGGTTCTTCCTGAGCAACACGGAGGCTTTCTCGAGGGCGCAGGCGAAGGTGCGGAGAAAAATTTCTAGGACCAAGATTTGCTGCGGGGAAACTTCAGCCTGATGGGACAGACGAGGCTGTGAGTCTGCGAGTCTGCGACGCTTGCGTGGCTTGTCACATGGCGAGCGAGGCATTGCTTTCCATTCCGAGATTTTTATAGCAGGACTAACTACCTTGCTCCATGAATGCTAAACGTGCATTTATGCGGGAATGCCAGCAATAGGCGGGTCGTCTAAAGTAGGCTTACGGAACGCCATACCCTTGTGCTTGTAGATTGTACATTTTCTCGTCGACACATTCCTCCAACCGCCTAGAACTCCCACCCCACCGACGCCATGCAGTAACTTGAGATGCAGAAAGACAAAAGACAGCGTAGATACCAGTCAGCATATTATGCCTTCTCTTTCCGCTTCTTTTTCTTCTCTGACTTTGATGTGTCGGCCTCGTCTTCCACTCGTTTTCGTTTCTTGGACCCTTCAATCTCACCGTTCGCCTCCTTTGCTGCAGCCTTCTCAGCCGCCTTCCTCGCCTTCTTTGCCTCCTTCTTCGAGACAGCTACAACCGTGCCATCCTCTTGAAATTGGATTTCGCCCCGCGCTAGCTTCCTCTTGTATCTTTCCACACTCAATCCACACTGAGCAGCCAAGGCTTCAATCTTATCCTCGTGGCCAGCCGTTGCCGCCTTTTCTGCCTGAACCTTCTTCTCTTTCTTCGCAGCCTTGCGAGCAGCCTTCTCTGCACGCTTCCTTTCTTTCGCAGCTTTCTTGGCTTCTTTTTTCGACAAGCCATTGACCCCATTGACAGCAGATGGTACAATGGCTTCGACCTCTGCACTGGCTATTGATTCATCAGATTGGGACTCGGCTTCATCGTTATCTCCCTCGCCGTCTTCTTTCATGCTCGCATCTTCGGGAATCTCTTCCACGAGCTTCTTTTCCTTCT